CATTTCCCAGAGGTCCATCGATAGGCATTTATAGGGATCCATGCTTCACATCTTGTGAATACTCCCATGTAATTTAAGGATATGCATAGATATCTCTGTAGTGTATAGTAGAAATGGTCACTTTTTAGTGAAAAGAATTATAGTGGTTTTCTAAAGCTTTTCTTTGTCCCCATAGTAAACCTGTCCTTGGTATACCTGTTTTATCACCATAAATGCTCACACTCTTGCTTATCCCCAGGTGCTAGTGGAATGGAGAGGACATATAAACATGTGTGTCTACATGTTTGCATATACATATATTATCAGCCAAGTGAGTAATAGGGAAACAAACTCAAAAAAAATTTATTATAGATATGACCTGAAATATCTATAATATTTTGCCAGTTTTGGTAAAGATGGTACTTGGAGTAGAAACAGATTTAACATGTTTGTTTCTAACAAGATGTGCATTGCTAAGGACTACATTGTAACAGGATTTATTATAAAACAGTTGCTTTGAGTATCACTCTTCCAACTCAGGATTATTTGGCTTCTTGATTCTTGTTTGTAAAATAAAAATAATTATTATTGTCAAAAAATAAATCTGTTTGTGATTGGTGTGTCTATATTTGGGTGTTTGAGTGAGGCCTGGTCACAGCATACATTCTTTTTTTTTTTTTTTTGGTGAGGCAATTGGGGTTAAAAGACTTGCCCAGAATCACACAGGTAGTGAGTGTTATATGTCTGAGATCGGATTTGAACTCAGGTCCTCCTGATTCCAGGGCTGGTTCTCTATCTACTGTGCCACCTAGCTGCCCTCACAGCATACATTCTTGAAAGCCACTTTATTGGAGGACCAGGATGAAAGTAATATAGCATGGTCAGGCAGGGATGGCTTGTGATCTCTGGTATTTGGAGAGATGACTCACATGAATCTACTATGAGAGTCTTTGTAAAGGACGCCCTTAATAATGCTTTTTCAGAGTTCTACTTCATCAGTGGCAGTGAAACTCTTCTCAGCCTCTCAACTTTAGTTTTTAATTGACTCAAGAGCAACTTTGTTATATGTCTTCTATGTCTTGATAAAATGTTGGAAGGTGAATCTTAAGATTTGAAGTGAAGATACTTGTTTCAGGAATCAAAATTTTCTGCAAGTAAGAATTATTTTAAGCATTTTCCATGCAAATTTAGCATTTTAAGACCTTTTTCTCTTTAGCTTTGGTGCCCATAACCTAAATTGGAGGGTTATCTTCCATGTGTAGTTGAGGGCCTTTATTTTTTTCCCCCAGTTGAGGGAGCCTGGCATTTTTTTTCAAGCTTGTCTCTGGAATCTGTTGGTCCTAGCAGAATTTGAGTGGTCTTAAAGGAATGTGATGATGCTTTTTTTCCCTGGGCAGTTATGATTGTGTTTTTCTCTGTTCCACCCTGCTGTGCTTTTAATTGTAGATGACAGTAGGGGGAAGGGGAAACTCAGCTTGCAAAAGTGTGGAAGGTACAAGCACAAGGGGGTTGTGGTATTTTGATACTAAATAACTAAAGCATATTGTTGCTGTTGCGAAAGTTAATGAAACACTTTTAGTTGGAAATCTTGACAAACTTTCGCAGGTGTGGGATCATCTACTGTTTGGAGTTGCCTTTTGCTAAAACCTTTTGCAGCAGGCTTACTAGTTCCTGTGTTATGGGTGGAATTATCCATTTATGTCATTGAGTTAGAATTATTTTGGAAATATTAACAAGAACTTGAATTCACTGGTAATACTCAACAGAGAGATTTTGTAATCCTCAAGTACCTTTTTTTCTTTTTCCTTGGGTACAAGTCTTTTGATGTTGTAAATAAAGTTTACTAATCTATGGTTGCCATTTAAAAAAAAGTATTAATTTACACATTACTTGAATTAGCTTTCCATTTCTGGAAAGTTAAATTCAGTACTAGTATTTATAAATCTACCACTAGCTTTGTAACTGTGGATAAGTCATTATTAATCTTTCAGAGCCTCAGTTTCCTAATCTATAAAACAGAGATGAAAATATCGCTTATACCTTAGTATTATTGTGAGGAAGGCATCTTTGTAAACCTTAAAGCACTATAGAAGTGTGAACTGCTAGTTATTATGCTGACCACATATCTAGGCATAGCTGTAAACTGGATATTGATATTCATATTATTTAGGCAAATGCTTATTTTTGAAAGCTTGGGGTTAGGTTTTGATAAGATAAGCAGATCATCAAATATGAAGAGAAAACCTTTTGAAATTTCCCTCCCCCATTTCATTGTTCAAAACCAGTTTGGTTTAGATTAGGAATGATTCAGTAAATGCTTTCAAAAGTACATTTTTTTTGCATATGATTTAGTTGGTTTCACTGGTAGGCATGAAGTAAGATGACTTGTAAGTTATAAATAGTGGGAAAGCATTATAGGGAGTTTAGTTTTTTAGTATTATAAAACTAGTGACTAGCTAACCTGGACTGCCTTTAAGTAGAATGCTGTATAATTTGTTCAGTTATAGGCATGTCCTGTGAACTATGTAAAACATTTTTTCCCCCTTATGTGGAAAAAAAAATACAGTTTTAGAAACTGAAAGCTGAGGGTTGTTTGTCATTCGTAGCTTTGGCCTAATACAGATGGTTTTTAGTTGTATTCAGGCCCAGAGAAATGTACACAATTGCTTTCTGATGTTCTGTAACATCTTTTGTCATGCTTCCTTCCTTTTTGGTTGTTCTGTGACTAGTATCTAAACCTTAGACCTTTAAATACTTTTCCTTGGTTAACTGAATTACAGAAATGCTTATTCTAGATTCCACTAGCCTCCAAAGTACTATAGTTTCTGATCAAAGTCAGCATCTTGGGTGTTCGAGTAATCATAAGCATGGCTGCAGGTCAAGGACAGGTTATCATTTTGCAGATATATCAATTTCTTTTCCCCTGAAGTATTTTGCTTACAGCTCTTTTCCTGAGTGTTAGTTTCCCTTAAACAAAAAAGTTCTAGGACTTCCTGGGAATGTGTGTATTTAAATGTGAGGGTGTTGTCATGGGCAGAGTGATCTCTGTGTTCTAGAGACTCAAGCCAGCCTTTGTTAAGCATCTGTGTGCTAGACTTTGGGGATACATACACATACAAAATGAGAGTACTGCCCTCAGTGAGCTTGTATTCTACTAAAGGGATTCATTGGATTCATAGATATTTATAAGTAGGATGTATGCAGGGTAAATGTACAGTGGTTTGTGGGGAGCAGTAATTAGTAGGATAATTTGTTGTTGAGTCGTTTCAGTAATGTCTGATTCTTTGTGACCCCATATGGGGTCTTCTGGCAAAGATACTGGAGTGGTTTGCCAGTGTCTGAGATTTGAACTCAGGTCTTTCTGGCCCAGTGCTCCATCCACTGTACCACTAAGCTACCCACTGGAAGAATTAGGAGAGGCCTTTTGCAGGAGGTAGAACTTGGACTTATGGTGGCTCCAAGAGGTGGAGAGATGGAGGGAGAATATCCTTCCAGGGCCCAGCTTCAGAATGTGGAAGGTTTTGTGGTGGGGAAGAGCAAGTAGGCCAGTTTGGCTAAGAGTGTGTGAGGGGAGTGGTGTGCAATTGACCTATAGAGATAGGTTGGGACTAGAGCCTGAAGGGTTTCCAGTGCTGGCCAGGCAGTGGTCAGCTACTGGAGGAGGAGGGACACAGGCAGAGCTATACTTTAGGAATGCCTGTTTGTCAGCTGTGTGAGGTGTGGATTAGCAAGGTGAATTTGCTGGATCAGTCAGGAAGTTAATACGGTAGTCAAGGTGAGAAGGAAGATGACATTTTGTGAATTCATAGTGTTATAAGGCAATGTTGTTACACTCAAAAACAAGACCACTAAACCATACTTTAGGGTCCCTAAGTGCTGCATATGTACTTAGAAAACCACATATCAACATTACTTCTATTTTACTGTATTTTTTTAAATTTTGATAAATATTTTCCAATTACACTTTATTCTGGTTCAGGCTGTGCTGGCAGGTATTGCAGGCCTGTTTCTGAGACCTCTGCTATGTGGTACCTTAGAAATGATTTAATCCACTCTCCTATTACTCATCTCCTTATATAGCTATTTGCATCTTCTTTATAGTGCTGCTTAGTTACCTCAGCTCTTGAGATTTGATACATACACCATTTATCCATTCAGTAAATATTTATTACATACCTGCTGTGTGTGTGTGTGTGTGTGTGTGTGTGTGTGGGACAGAAGCTAGGTACTTCGGGAGATATGAAGTTTAGATAAAGTTCCTATCCTCATAGTTTCCTAGCTAGTGAAGGAGGGGATAAGATACTAGTACAAATAAGAATAACATGTTCGTTCAGGAATATTTGTTTTAGCATATTGTGTGTGTGTGTGTGTGAGTGTAGGATGAATTGTCAAATGTCTAATTAAGTGAAGAGTTTTATCATTCTACAGTAGGAAAAATATTTGCTGAGAATATATGTTTTACTCCAGCTTAGCCCCAAAGAAGAGACAGGAGAAGCCATCCCTTCCCATCTCTTTGCAGAGGTGGATGCACTAAGGGTGTGGAACATTATAATATCAGACTTTGCTGACACGTCACTTGTTCTATTGAACTCTTAGGGATGGCTTTGGGGAAGGGGAGAAGCTTATATTGGGAAACAGAGAAATATAGATAACATAAAAAACAAGTAGGGGCAGCTAAGTGGTGCCATGGAGAGAGCACCAGCCCTGGAGTTAGGAGGACCTGAGTTCAAATCTGGCCTCAGACACTAGCTGTGTGACCCTGGGCAAGTCACTTAACCCCAATTGCCTAAAAAACCAAACCAACAAACCCACAAACCCAACCTCCCCCCAAAAAAAAATTCCAAGAAGTATATAGCATTTCATTTAGAAAGTAGATGCTAAAAAATCAGATCAGAAAGGTGTGTATTTCTACAGAGCAGAAAGGTGTGTACTTTCAAATTTTTTCTGAAAGAACAAGTTTGCTTTTGCACTAACTCAGGAATATTGCTAATGCCTTTTGTGTCTCTTGGGTGTCTCTTTAGGTATGGCATCACAGCTGCAGGTGTTCTCCCCCCCGTCAGTCTCGTCGAGTGCCTTCTGCAGTGCAAAGAAACTGAAAATAGAGCCTTCTGGCTGGGATGTTTCAGGACAGAGCAGCAACGAAAAGTATTATCCCCACAGCAAGAACCTCTCTGCCGCACAGGGGCAAGCCAGCTCCTCTCACCAGGTGACAAGTTTCAACCTCCCTCCTTACGACCAGAGCCTCCTCCTGCCAGCTCCCACAGTGGAGCACATCGTGGTCACCGCCGCCGACAGCACGGGTGGTGCTGCCACCACCTCCTTCCAGAGTAGCCAGACCCTCCCTCACAGAGGCAACGTTTCTTTGCTGGAACCCTATCAAAAATGTGGATTGAAAAGAAAAAGTGAGGAGGTGGACAGCAACGGCAGCGTGCAGATCATAGAAGAACATCCCCCTCTCATGCTGCAGAACAGGACTGTGGTGGGCGCCGCTGCCACGACCACCACCGTGACCACCAAGAACAGCAATGCCAGCGGAGAAGGGGATTACCAGCTGGTCCAGCATGAGATCCTTTGCTCCATGACCAACAGCTACGAAGTCCTAGAGTTCTTGGGCCGAGGGACGTTTGGGCAGGTGGCCAAGTGCTGGAAGCGGAGTACCAAGGAAATTGTTGCGATCAAGATCTTGAAAAACCACCCTTCCTATGCCCGACAGGGCCAGATCGAAGTGAGCATCCTCTCCCGCCTGAGCAGTGAGAATGCTGACGAGTACAATTTTGTCCGTTCTTATGAGTGCTTCCAGCACAAGAATCACACCTGCCTTGTGTTCGAGATGCTGGAGCAGAACTTATATGACTTCCTCAAGCAGAACAAGTTCAGTCCACTGCCACTGAAGTACATTCGGCCAATCCTACAGCAGGTGGCCACAGCTCTGATGAAGCTCAAGAGCCTCGGCTTGATCCATGCCGACCTAAAGCCAGAAAACATCATGCTGGTGGATCCTGTGCGCCAGCCGTACCGCGTGAAGGTCATTGACTTCGGCTCTGCCAGTCACGTATCCAAAGCTGTGTGCTCCACCTATTTACAGTCACGGTACTACAGGCAAGTGTCTGTCCTCTCTTGAAGAGAGCCATTAAAACACGCACTGCAGGGAGTACTAGAATCATTTCCCTCAGTACAACGTGGGCCCATGGTGATAGGTTGTACCTCACAGAGATGGAGGTGTGCTCTTCTACAGAAGCTTGTTTCTGGATCTGCCTTTTTTTAAGGGCTAGTTGGGGGTTCTCTATAGTATCCTTTGTGGCCACTTTTCCAGAAAAGAATAAGGAACTCTTAATGTTCTGAGACTTTGAGGGGTGTCGCAAGTTGTCGTGACACCACCATGATTCTTTCTCTAAGACCACTCTACTCCATACTCATTCTTTTCTCCTTTAGTGAGAGGTAGGCTGTATTTATTACTGATGAGCTTGTGATTGCACACAGCTGTTACTCTAAGCCTTTTAACTGGGAATATTAAATATTTTAGAGAAAAAGACCCCCATCAGCTACACTCCTAGTAGCCAGTGTCTCTGAATCATATTTTAGGCTATTTTTTCCTTTTCTCCCACAAGATCATAGGATCATAGATTTAGAGCTGACCTTAGATTTAAAGGGACCTCAGAGGTCATTTAGTCCATGTGATTCTTTCTGTTTTCCTTCTGATTTTTTTTTTTGGCTAGGCAGTGGGGTCAAGTGACTTGCCCTGGGTCACAGAACTAGTAAGTGTTATGTGTCTGAGGCCAGATTTGAACTCAGGTCCTCCTGAATCCAGGGCCGGTGGTCTGTCCACTGCGCCACCTAGCTGCCCCATGTTTTCCTTCTGATCATGGCCAAAAGATTTTAATTGGCTTATCCCTTAACCCAGTTGTCACGTAATTTGTTCAGTTATACTCTTAGATAGATAAGTTATCCTAATTAACGTGTAGTACCATAGTTATTGAAAGACAACTTTGTCTTTGGCAAAGATATGGTTATTACCACTGGTGTCTGAGAAACAAAGAACTGAAGGAAAATGCAGCTATTTAAATAAGTAGAGCAAAGCCCTTGACCCTGATAAAAAATTCTGAACTGCTTTTTGCTCACTTAAGGGCTTTTATTTCCTAGATAATAGCACATACCAGAATTATTTGCATACTGCTCTCTTGGATCCCTCTCTCTGGCCCCTTCCCTGTCTCCCCTTCCCCCAAGTCTCTCTCCTATTACATTAACTCTAGAATGAAGTGGGGAATTATGAGAGCTTCTGTGGTTTGGTCACCTGCTGCCTACCTTAGCCTTTCAGGTTCTGATCCCCATTTAAAAAAATATTAATGACTTACTTAGAATTATGCAGCAGTTCTAGGCAAAATTAACTTGACTCTAGTTTTCTTTAGCTGTTTCCCCATCACAGATTGCATGTATTTTGAAGGGCCAGCTGCCTAGGCACTTACCTATGGAGGTAATAGGAAAATAATTCCATAATAAAGGATTGAGTGCTTTTCAGCTTTTCTTTCCCTCTCTGATCTTTTTTCTTCTTTGTGCCCCCACTTTCTCCCATGTTGAGCAACAACTCTATACCCCACGTTGGACACAGTGGATTCCACTTTTAGAACTTGGCCTTTATTAGCAATTGCTGATAATTTCAGAGAGGAAATTATTGAAATCTCAGAAAGTATATTGTAGAATTACTTACAGAAAACGTTTTGGTGGATTTTCATTTCAAAATGGGTAGCCCCTGAAGAGAGGATGGTTAGCTAGATTTCAGTGGTGTGTAGAGAGCTGAGAACTGTGATCTCTTCTGCCCTTTTGTAGGAAGTTGTCACTTGAGTAATTGTGATCCTGAGTATACCTTGAGGTGATGAAGCTGGATTTATTGATTCCTTTTTCTAGAATAGGACATAGGACATGCTTTGAATCCGTCCCCTGATAATTCTTCAGCAAAGCTCTTTAACTGCCTACAACACTTGGCCCCTCAACTATAGCTATGAAATCTTAACCCAGACTAAGCAAGGGTCTCACCCAGAAATAGAGGCACATTCTGTGTAGTCTTTGAGGTTTGTGATTCAGGACTTTTTGAATGTGACATTATCTGTGCTCCTTCTCTGTGGTAGCAGCAGGACTGAGGTTTTCTAGCTTTATTGCTGGCTTTTATCCACAATGGGGGGCTTAAGCTTCTTTCATGCTGCTTTACCCTCTTTTTTAAAAAATGCATCAAACATTTGCCCCTTTTAGGAAACAAGGAAATCTTTCTGGTCAGTGAGACATCAAAACTTCAAAGATAATCTTTCATCTTCATATTAAAACATTTCATGATGATACTACATGCTAGAATATTAGCACCTATTGCACCTTTTTTTCCCCAGTCTTTTTGCAATTGATAGCATGGACCTACTCAGACAGTGGATAGAACTAAAGTCAATGAACTTTGTGCTTGGCCCACATAAATGGTGACTTGCTTCAAACAGATTGTTGTCTTTGAGTCTTGAGTTCTTAGGGACAAAGGTTTTGCTCCGATGTGTGAACCCTTGTATAACTAGCATCACCAATTTCCATGTGGGTGGTCTTCAGCAGACCAGCTGGCTCATATTTCCAGCTGAGATTCCATTATTTGATATGTAGTAGTAGGACAGAATCTAGTAAGAAAAAGTATTTTCCCCACCATTTTATCATTTAAAGAGAAAACAAAAAATCTTCAACTAGTTACAGTGAAGCTATACATTCTAACTTTATTCACAGTTGTAAAAAAAGTCAGTGTTGATGTAACATCTGATCTGGTGACTGACTTAATGCCTTTGACATGAGAAAGGGAAAATAAGATTTGTGAAAAGGATGATTTGTGCTAATTGGTCCTGTTGTCAAGGCTTTCTAAACTCCACTGTGGACCTCAGTGAAAATAAGTTTTAGTGCCTAGGGGAGTTTTTCAACTTAAAGTAAGTTTAAAGTTGAGAAATCACAAAGGAGGAACTTCTGTTCCCACTGCTGGCTTCAGTAATTAGACCCTTTTCAGTGTTCTGTCCATAAGGGAGTTGTATCGTCAAAGGTGCCAAAAAAAAAAAATTAAGACCTACCTAGACCATGGAATTTTTTTCATTGACAGCAGGTAAAATCATCTCTCCATCCAAGTGGATCTGCAAACATTTGTCATATTTTCTGCTTCAATTGAAGCAGTGAACACCTGGCAAGTGACACTTCCCAAGTGTTGTTCATTTTGTAGGTTTTTGAGAGATTGAGAGGTTATATGGGGTAGGTTTAGTGAAGGAAGATACAATAATGAAAAAAATTTTCTAAGAAATATAAGCTGAATACAAGAGTGGGTTGTCTTATTCCTGTTCCTCCATGAATTCTTCTAGGATTGTTTTCTGTTCTACATAAAGGGAACTAGTTTGTATTTCTTATTTTTTTGTATATATGTGAGTTGAATATTTCTAGGCTATCGGTATAAGGAGAAGGCTACAGGAAGCTGAGCAAGCCTCATTTTTTGAGCTACCTTGTGCTTTCTCTTGTTTATTGTCTTTGATTTTACCGTGGGGCTGCTGTTGTGAGCAAACATCTATAGATTTCTCCAGCTGCTTTTGCTGCCTCAGAAACAGAAGGAAGCTAATGTGGGAAAATTATATCTTCTCTAGCTAATATTCTTTTTCTTTTGTATATTTTTTCATTTTTACTGGAAGTTGGCAGAGGGAGTATTTTCCTTCAGTGACCAAAACTTTGAGCCTGAGAAACATAAAAGTATGTTTATTACCTGTTCATAAATGAGTCATTGGATGGCCAGGCCACTTCCTGTAACTTTATCTTTTGGGGATTTAACATGCCTTTCTTGTAAGGCGGGGGTGGCAGAATTAGTCAGCCCCTCCTCTATGGATGACTGACAGTGTTCTAAGCTGAAATCTTGACTTTGACAGAGAGCCATGTTTGAGTTCTACCTGCCAGTTGGTTTTAGCACTGCCCTGAGCTTGAAAATGATTGCTTGTGCTAGATGAAAGTTGAAATTTCAGGTCCCTTGCCTTTGCAGTGCTTTTATGATGTTTCTGGACTTGTTAGTTCTCTAGTTGATGAGAGAGCTCCTGTCACCTCTGTGTTGGAAAAACACATGCTGTTGGCATTTCATTAAACTGAAATTCCATCAGTTCTGTTCAGTTACAATCACCTGAAGGGGGAATGGTGCCTGGAGCTGGGCCTCTGCCCACAATTCAAGTATTTGAGCTTTTGAAAGTTGCTTCTTTGATTAATAATTCCACAGTCCAAGTCAAATAGTCCTGTAAGAGGTGGCAACAAGCCACAGCCATTAGCTGTTGCAAGCCAGGAGCTGGCTGTAAGCTTCCAACTTGCTGGTCTTTATAGGACTACTAACTTTCTAGTAGAATCCGTGAGGCCTTGTTTCTCAAGGACTCTGGCTTTTAGGTTTGGGAAGAGGCAGTGGTGTGATGTCTTGTCAGGAGCATTGCTTTGGAAATTAAGGGGCCTGATTACTTGCTAGCTAGGTGCTCTTGGGGATTTATCCTTTCATCTTCAATTTCTTTATTTGTGAAATGGTAGTGATAATACTTGTACTACTTGTGCACATAATTGTGAGGATCAAATGAGATATGTTGTAAGGTGTAGTGAAAAGAACCCCTGGCCTGCCCCTCACAAACAGTATCCAAACCACTCTGGGTAAATTAACCTCTCAGTCTCAGTTTGCTCATTTGTAAAATGGACGCTATACTTGCACTCTGTACCTCATGAGATCGTCTTGAGGAAAGATTTTTCCTAAATTTGCAAGTGCCATAAAATATTTGTTAATTATTTTTATTTGGACTACTACTCAGTAAAACCACTTAAAATGCATTTAGTCTTTCCAGTTATGGGGCCGATAATCTCTTTTGTGACAAATAAAAACAACTAAAGCAATGCATCGTGTTCCAGAAGATGGCATTTGTCAGTATTTGTTGCAGGCTTCCCTAGTAGCCTCCACCTCTCTGCTTAGGAGGAGGAGGAGATGTTTCAGTTGTCTCTTTTAGGATTTACATTGGTGAAAACCTCTTTTAAAATCATATACTATTCTGAGAGATTAATAATGCCTCAAATGAACTTTTTTGAAGACTAGGTATTGCTGGAATATAATAGGAAAGTTTCCTTCCTGGAAAGATCTGTACTTGGAACAAATAGAGGAAATCCTTGGGACAAGGTGTATTCTAAATTTTTTTTAAATTGCTTAGTTTGTATGTTAAAACCAATTTGGATTTCTAGGATTGTAACTTCTTAACTGAATGTTAGCTCCTGTTTCCTCTGATATAGTATGGGAGCTTAATTGGGATGATTACTCTTGAAGAATTTAAAATGAGAGGAACTTGAGACTTGGCCAGTGGGCCAGTCTGGTCTGAAGCTATCTGAGTCTTGTGCTGTTTATTCCTGGGGTTGGTTGTGGAAGCTTGGTCCTTTTTGTACTGCTTCCTTCTTCAACAAACCAGAGGCATCCCTAACTTTAGCTAGTTCTCAGTGACTCGCTTTCTTTTCCAATGTTTCTCAGGTGAAGGGCTTTTCTTCCTGGGGCTTCTTAATGCTGGCTTGTTTTACTTGCGTGACAGATGACTGCTTTATTTCTTCTGCAAAGGAATCAATAGGTAACATAATAGGACACATGTTGTGGGTTTTGGTTTTGTCACATTCTTTAGAGTTTATTGTTAGCGTAAAACATTAACTCATATTTTTGGGAATTGAAAACAGAGAGACCTTTTCCTAAGGTGAAAGCTGAAGGCTACCCAGTGAAAAGGTTTGATTGTATCTACATTTTTAAAAAAGGGGGTGAGTAATGGAAATTTCATATTATGGGCTTTTCTGAATGATCTTTAAAGGGGTAAAGATAGTCTCTTGCTGAAAACTAGTGTTCATGATGTCTTCGTGTGATACAGTAAGTTAAGCAAGAGAGAAATCAGCCCACAAGTGACTTTCTGAATTTCCTAGCACTTGACACTGAACTTAATACAGGACACATGAAAGTTTATAGTCAGGCCTTGGTTTCCCTGGATCTTTTCAAAGCATAGTTACCATGTGAGCAGAGATGCAATTATAGGTTAAAAGAGACGTCTGGGAGGGGGGTATCTCTTTCCTTCATTTCTTCTTCTCTGCCTCAGTCAGTTTATCTGTACCTTTAATATTTTTTGTTTTGGTGGTATTAGAATTGGTCAAGAAATTCTGAAGCATTATGTACTTGGTTCTGACTGAAATCAGTAAGCACATTTTATTTATTAAAAGTTTACTGAGTACAAGGAATTTTTTTAACTCTTAAGTTTTAAAAATTTTTTCCAAATTCTCTCCCTTACCTTCTCCTCTTGTCCTGTACCTGGGATGTCAGGCAGTTAGATTTACTTTATACATGTACATTCATGCAAAACTTATTTCCATATTAGCCATGTATGCAAGGGACTTTCTAGAGATTTTGAAAATTTTATCATTACTCCATAGAACTCCAGGCACATTTACTTCCAGAACTTATTTCTGATTATGCTCTCCTTTCAAGCACTTTGCTTCAATGTTCTCTTAGAAATATTTTTTACATTGCAGAAGTTGTAGCTTTATACAAAAGAACACAAAGGTTTTCCAGAAGGTGACCTGGTGTAGTGGAGAGGGCCCAAGTTCATCCCTAGAAACTTAATAGCTGTGTGACCCTGGGCTAGTCACTAGTCTCTTTGTGCCTCTGTTCCTTCACCTGAAAAATGTGGGTTTTGGACTCAGTGGCTTCTAGCTCTAAACCTATGATTCTATGATAAATCTTTATGCTTTAGAATTAGCTTCATTTTAGTAATGAAGCAAAGAGAATCAATTTATTCACTTCATGTCTTCATGAGAGGAGAAAGGTATAGAACCCTTTGGTTAATATATCAGATGATTTTCAGTTTCATTAACAAAATGTGCTTCACTTTCTACACAAAAGCAGGACTCCCTTGGCATTTTAGTTTAATGTGTTAATTGATCATAATCTATCATTTGGTCTGATGTTTTGTTTTGTAGAGCTCCTGAAATCATTCTTGGACTGCCATTTTGTGAAGCTATTGACATGTGGTCCTTGGGCTGTGTGATAGCTGAGCTGTTCCTGGGGTGGCCTCTCTATCCTGGTGCTTCAGAATATGATCAGGTAAGAAGTGACTCTGGGCAAGTCACTTAACCCCAATTGCCTTAAAAAAAAAAAAAGAATTGGATTTGGGCAGGAACAGGTCAGACAAGTTATTTCTAGTGGAGTGGTTAGATATTAGGGGAAAAACAGTTGTGGTGAAAGTCCAATCTCAATGTAAATTTGTGGATTTTAGAAAAAGAATAGTGACATTTTTTAACGCTTTTCCTCCAACTTCTTCTCCTTAAGACTGCAATGTAATTCATGGCCTTTGATAGTGATTTTTGATGTTCGGGATTTCCAGAAAATGATGGAGGAGGCAATCCTGTGATATTCTACTTCTTTTCTCCCCTTTTGAAATGATTGGTCATGAAGAGATAGCTCCTGAGGCTTATCTTCAGGGTACTATTTTGTCTTGTGAATTAAGAGACAAAAGAAAGATATAGATGAAAAATGAGAATTTTCATTATGGAGTTCCATGAGCTTCACAGTGAAGTTTGAATGAGCCTAAACTTTGTGAAAAGTTTAGAATAAAATACTCTTCAAACTGAAATGTGTTTACAGTGCCCCTGTGGAAGAGAATTTATGAAGGAAATAATCTATGATGGAAACCATGCGTCAGTGTTTTCTCATCCATAAAAGTCTAGACTAGATAATCTTGAAAGTCCCTTTCCTTTTGCTGTACTAACATATTATGAGTGTGATTCTGATGGTTAAGAGAGGAATCCGCAACAGTAGAAGAGCTGTCCTGCAATTTCCTATGTTGTTAAGTTGTTTTGAAAGTGGCCCTTGAGTTTGAGAAATTGGGGAGGGGTTGTAGGATTGGAAATTACTCTTAAATGATGGCTTCTTGACTCCCTCCCATGAAATGGTTCTGTGGTACAGAATGATTAAAAGAAAAAAGATGAGCGTATGTTTATTTCTTATTCATATGAGTTCAGTGATATTGTGCACTGGAAGAAAGATGACATTTACCTGTTTCTAGAAATTGACTTTTGGACCAGGGCTGTAAGTGAAGCCTAGGTTTCTTGTATTATAAATGTTCATATTTTGTGCTGTGATTTGTGTAATTCCATTCAGTCCTCCTTGTGAGAGTTAACCCAGTAGCAGTGTTGATCTCTTTTGCACTGAAGGGATTGGCCACAACTGCGTAACCAGCCTATTAGCTAGATCCACCTCCTCCATGTGTCTGGTACCAGTGTCCTCTCTCCTGGTGGAAGGATGCTGTCACACTTTTTCCTGGGAGGCAGAGCCTGACAAAGAAGACACTGAAAGTATAGATGGGCAGTTTTGAGGTTTATGGGGGGAAAAAAAGATCTGACAGTTCTAAGAATCGTATCACTGTTTGAGTGTGACTCTGGAGAGGGCAAGATGGACTAGAGCTGGTGGATTTAGGAAGGTGGTTTTTCCAGGGTTCAGTCATGAGAATGTTGCAGTTGTGGGGAAGCATTAGAGGCCATGTGTTGGACCCAAGTACAATTGCATAGAAACATTGTTGCTATCATTAATACCAAGTGTTTCTTTGTGATATCTTCTTCTACAGCTGTGTGAGAGCATCTTGTTGGCTGTGAAGAACAGACTGGTGGTTTCCTATTCTTTTATCACAAAGGACTATTTAAATTTTGAAGCAAACAGTACTGAATAATTATCATAGCTGACATGTTTATAGTGCTTTCAATGTTTGATCTCATTTGATGACGTTCCATCTCCCGGCATTTTCACTGCCTGACCAACATGCCTGAAGCTTTATCCTGGCATCTCTGGCTTCCTTTAAGTCTCAGCTAAAGTTCAACCTTCTGCAAGGAGCCTTTCCCAGTCCTCCTTAACCTGAGCGAGCACCTGCCTTCAGAGATTGCCTCCCGTTTATCCCGTATATAGCTTGTTTGCACAAAGCTGTTTGCATGTTGTCTCTCTCGTCAGACTGGGAGGGTCTTGAGAGCTGTGGCTTTATTTTGCCTTTGTTTGTACTCTCAGTGCTTAGCACACAGTGCCTGGCACATAGTAGGTACCTAATAAATGCTTGTTGACTTGATTTAGTCCACAACAACTCTGTTGGACTAGATGTTAGTGTTAACCCAATCTTACAGATGAAGAACTGAGTCCCAGAAAGGTTAAAGAACTTGTCTAGGGCTGTATTGACAGTAAGTATCTGAGCCCTAGTATTAAGAAGTAAGAATTTGAACCCAAGTCCTCCAACTCCAAGTCAAGGCCTCTCTGTTTACACTAAGCCATGTAGCTTTTCCCGTGTCTTATGGGGTATTTTATTTGAATAGTTTTCAAAATTATGTAGCATCATTCCAGTTTTGAAGAATGTGCCGCTGATGTCTAAAATTGGCCTTTGGTTTTACTGCCTTTGTGTTCATAATTTTTATTTATTTTTTTCAGATATATTTATACTTTAATACAGTTCTTTTTTTGAAGAGAATAGCACATTACTGTTTTGGAGCTTAAACAAAATTTATACTTCACATGGAAACCAATCAAGTATTTATTTCTCATCTTTGAGCTCAGGATTGTTTTTTGAGGGGTGGGGAGGAGAGGTAAAGAAGGAAAAACCTGGTTTCTGTCCTGAAGGTACTTATGCTTTAACTGGATTTAGAGGGTGATGACAGCATCTGTGGAATTGCATGTATCGGTGTAGTGGCAAAAGCATTGGATTTTGCAGTTCTCAGATGTGAGTTTGAATCCTAGCTCTGCTACTTGTTAGTTGTGGGAAGTAATGTGGTAGAAGTCCCTTCACCCCTCTGAGACTCATTTTCCTATCTGTAAAATGGTGATGGAAGAGGAGCTGGGGGTTAGACTGAATGATTTCTAAGCTCCCTCTCATTTTTTTATATTGATCCTTTTGCTTTAGAAGCAATTAGCAAACATTGTATAATCAAGAATTCAATTGAGTGGTACAGATGAGAGCAATTCAGAGAAAGGGGGAGATACGTTAGTGAGAGCTAGGAGTTATTAGGGGAGATTTCATGAAGAAAATAGGTCTTGAGGAAAGCCCTGCCCTTCCAATATAAGTATCAAAGCTAACCTGGAGAGTCATGAAAAGCTGTTCCAGGGGGTTCTTCATAGTTCATTACTGAGGGTTTTTTCCTCAAGTTTTTAAAACTTCTGTCAAAAGAGAGTTCATAGATGGCAGAGAGAAGCCAGTAAGTTTCCTGAGCTCTCCCCAGTTTCCCTCAGAAACGTTAAATCAAGCCTCTAAAGGGATTCTGGAGTGACAGAACCCACAAAAAAAAATAGAGTGAAACAATTTTTCTAGCTTAAGATAACTTAGAAGGGCTTCAGGAAAGGTCTGCCTCACTTAGGTAAAAGGGGGCCTCAGCCCAGTGCAGACAGTGTCCAGGCAAGCGAGTGGGAGTCTCTTAGCCACCGCATATATGAATAACTGAGGCCCCTAGATCCTAGCTTAGCAGGACAGCTGTGAAGCCAGCCCCAGAACCTTGGCAGAACAAGCACGACTAGGCCAGGTTGCCCCAGTGCAGTGGGCAAGCCACGAGCATCTGGGGCTGTGGCACGGAAAGCCAGTGACCAGGCCCCTGGCCCCCAGAATAAGAAGCTTGGGAGAGTGCCCCTGTGCCCCAGAAGCAGAGTTCAACTTTTAAAAATGAGCAACAAACCCAAAAAGAGTCCTGCCCATAGAAAGCTACTGTGAAGACAGGGAAGATCGAAACACAAACTCAGAAGAGGGCAACAATGGCGAAATGCCTAGATGGGAAGCCTGGAAGGGGAATGTGAATTGGTCTCAAGCCCCAAAAGTTCTCCTGGAAGAACTTAAAAAGGATTTTAAAAATCAGATAAGAGAGGTAGAAGAAAAACTGGGAAAAGAAATGAGGGTTATGCAGGAGAATTGTGAAAAAAAGAGTCAACAGCTTGGGAAAGGAAGCACAAAAATTGACTGAAAAACGACTCCTTAAAGAGTAGAATTGGCCAAATGGAAAAGGAGGTTCAAAAGCTCACTGAGGAAAATAATTCCTTAAAAATTGGAATTGGGCAAGTAGGAGCTAATAACTCTGTTGAGACATCAAGAATCAGTCAAACCAAATCAGAATAATGAAAAAATAGAAGAAAATGTAAAATACCTCATTGGAAAAATAACTAACCTGGAAAATAGATCCAGGAGAGGTAATTTAAGAATTATTGGACTACCTGAAAGCCATGATCAAAAAAAGAGCCTGGACAACATCTTTCAAGAAATTAGCAAGGAAAACTGCCCTGAGGTCGTAGAACTAGAAAGTAAAATAGTCGTTGAAAGAATCCGCTGAGCACCTCCTTAAAGAGATCCCAAAATGAAAACTCCAAGGAATATTATAGCCAAATTCCAGAATTACTAGGTCAAGGAGAAAATACTGCAAGCAGCCAGAAAGAAACAATTGAAATGTCAAGGAGTTACAGTCAGAAATACATAGGACTTAGCAATTTCTACATTAAAGGATCAGAGGGCTTGGAGTAGGGTATTCTAGAAGGCAAAGGAGCTTAGAGTATAACAAAGAATCAGCTACCCAGCAAAATTGAGCATGGTCTTTCAGGGGAAAAGATGGACATTCAGTGAAATAGGGACTTTCAAGCTTTCTTGATGAAAAGACTAGAGCTGATCAGAAAATTTGATCTTCAGATACAAAACTCAAGAGAAACATAAAAAGGTAAACAGGAAAGAAAGAAAAAAAAACCCATGTTATTCAATAAGATTAAACTGTTTATATCCCTACACAGGAAGATGATACTTGTAACTCTTGAGAACTATATCTCTATTGGAGCAGTTAGAAGAAGTATATATATATATATATATCTATATATATATATATCTCTATATATATATAGATATATAGATATAGATAGATAGATAGATAGATAGATAGATAGATAGATAGATAGAGGGTGTGGGTATAAGTTGGCTTTGATGTGATGCTATAAAAAAAATTAAGGTGTAAAAAAAATGGTTGTATTGGGAGAAGAGAAAAGGGGGAGAATAGAGTAAATTACATCTCATGAAGAGGTGCAAAAGACCTTTTACAGTAGAGGGAAAGAAGGGGGGTGGTGAGTATTGTTTGAACTTTATTCTCATCAGATTTGGCACAAAAAGGGAATAACATACACACTCAGTTTGGCATAGAAATTTATCTTACCCCATAGAGAAGTAGGAAGGGAAAGGGGAAAGAAAAGAGAAGGGGAGTGCTGATAGAAGGGAGGTCAGATTGAGGGAGGTAGTGGTCAGAAGAAAACACTGGTGAGGGGGGACCGGATGAAAGGAGAGAGAAAAATGTAAAGTGGGGAAAATAGGATGGAGGGAAATACACAGTTAGTAATAATAACTGAGATTGTGAATGGGGTGAACTCTCCCATAAGACAAAAGTGGAGAGCAGAGTGGATTAAAAATCAGAATCCTGTAATATGTTGTTTACAAGAAACACATTTGAAGCAAAGAGATACACAAAGAGTAGAGGTAAAAGGCTGGAGCAGAATATATTGTGCTTCAGCTGAAATGAAAAAAGCAGGGGTAACAGTCCTCATCTCAGACAAAGCAAAAGCAAGAATAGAATTGAAAGAGATAAGAAAGGAAACTACACCTTGCTAAAAGGTGGTATAGATAATGAAGTAATATCAATACTAAACATATGCACTAAGTGGTATAGCATCCAAATTCTTAGAGAAGTGGGGTACAGTAAGAAATAGCAAAGCTATACCAGTGGGGGACCTCAATCTCTCCCTCTCAGAGCTTAGGTAAATCTAACCACAAAATAAACAAGAAATAACTTAAGGAGGTGAATAGAATTTGGAAAAGTTGGATGCGATAGACCTTTGGAGAAAATTGAGTGGGGAAAGAAAGGAATATACTTTTTTCTCAGTGGTATGTGGCACCTACACACAAATTGACCATGTATTAGGGCATAAAACCCTCACAGTCAAATGCAGAAAGGCAAGATATTAAATACTTCCATTCTAGATCATTATGCAAGAAAAATTACACGTAATAAAGAGCCATGAAAAAAAGATTAAAAAAATTTTTTTTGGTTTTTGGTGAGGCAATCGGGGTTAAGTGACTTGCCCAGGGTCACACAGCTAGTAAGTGTCAAGTGTCTGAGGCCAGATTTGAACTCAGGTCCTCCTGACTCCAAGGACAGAGCTCTATCCACTGTGACACCTAGCTGCACCAAAAGATTAAAAAATTAGAAACAAAATAATCTAATGCTGAAGAATGAGTGGGTCAAACAACAAATCATAAAAACAATAACTTCATCAAAGAGAATGATAGTAATGAGACAACATAACAAAACTTATGGGATACAGCCAAAGCAGTTCATAGGGGAAATTTTGTATCTCTAAATGCTTATATTATCAGTAAGATATAGAAAGAGATCAATGAATTGGGCATGCAGCTAAAAAAGCTAGGAAAAGACAAAAATTCTCAAATACCAAATTAGAAATTCTGAAGATCAAAAGAGAGATTAACAAAATTGTAAGTAAGAAAACTATTGAACTAATAAATAAAATGAAGAGCTAGTTTTATGAAAAACCCAATAAAATAGTTAAATATTTGGTTAATTTGATTTAAAAAAAAAAGAAAACCAAATTGTCAGTATCAAAAAATGAAAATAGTGAAGAGGAGATGAAAGCAATAATTAGGAGCTGTTTTGCCCAACTGTATGCCAATAAATTTGACAATCTAAATGGAATGGATGAATATTTACGAAAATATAAATTGCTGAGATTAACAGAAGAGAAAATAAAATACTTAATCCCATTTTAGAAAAAGAAATTGAACAAGTCATCAGTGAATTCCCTAAGAAAAAAATCTCTAGGGCGAGATGAGTTTACAAGTGAATTCTACCTCACATTTAAAGAACAGTTAATTCCATTACTATATAAACTTTTTGGAAAAATAGGTGGAGTATTGCCAAATTCCTTTTATGACACAAATATGGTGCTGATACTTAAACCAAAAAGAGCCAAAACAGAGAAAGAAAATTATAGACCAATTTCCCTAATGAATATTAATGCAAAAATTTTAAAACATTAGCAAAGAGATTACAGCAATTTATCATCAGTACAATACAGTATGACCAGGTGGGATTTATACCAGGAATTCAGGGCTGGTTCAATATTAGGAAAACTATCAGCATAATTGGCCATACCAATAACAAAACTAAAGGAACTCATGATTATCTCAGTAGATGCAGAAAAAGCTTTTGACAAAATGTAGCACCCATTCCTATTAAAAACACTAGAGAGCATAGGAATAAATGGAGTTTTCCTTAAAATGATAAGCAGTGTCTATCTAAAACTATCAGCAAGCATTTTATGTAATAGGGATAAGCTAGAAGCTTATCCATTAAGATCGGAGGTGAAGCAAGGATGCCTGATTATCACCACTATTATTCAGTATTGTACTAGAAATGTTAGCTTTAGCAATAATAGAAGAAAAAGAAATTGAAGAAATTAGAACGGGCCACAAGGAAACAAAACTATTCACTTTTTGCAGATGATATAATGATATATTTAGAGAATCAACTGAAAAACTGCTTGAAACAATCAGCAACTTTAGCAGAGTTGCACAATATAAAATAAACCCACAAAAATCATCAGCATTTCTAGATATTACCAACAAAGCCCAGCAGCAAGAGATAGAGAAATTCCATTTAAAATAACTGTAGACAATATGAAATATTTGGGAGTCAAGTCAACCTCCTAAGACAAACCCAGGAACTATATGAACACAGTTACAAAACACTTTTCACACCAGGTAAGATCTAAACAATTGAAAAATATCAATTGCTCATCAATTGTTGAGCTAATATAATAAAAATTCAGTGCCATACCAAACTACCAAAAACTTATTTTATGGAGTTAGAAAAAATAATATCAAAATTCATCTGGAAGAACAAAGGTCAAGAATATCAAGGGAATTAATGGAAAAAAGAAATGCAAAGGAGGGAGGCTTAGCTGTGCCAGATATGAAACTATGAAGTGGCAATCATTTAAACTATTTGGTACTGGCTAAGAAATAGAGTGGTGGATCAGTGGAATAGGTTAGCTACACAAGACACAGTAATCAATGGATATAGTAATCTAATAGTTTGATAAACTCAAAGACTCCAGCTTCTGGGATAAGAACTCACTATTTCACAAAAACTGCTGGGAAAACTGGAAAATAGTATGGCAGAAACTAGGCACAGACCAGCATCTTACACCCTATACCAAGATAAGATTGAAACGGGTGCGTGATTTACACATAAAAAGTGGTACTATAAGCAGCTTAGGAGAGCAAGGAATTGTTTACATGTCAGAGCCATGGAGAAAAGCTTATGACTGAACAGGAGACAGAGAACATTATGAAATGCACAATGGATAATTTTGATTACATTAAATAAAAAGGTTTTGCACAAACAAAACTAATGTAACCAAGATTAGAAGGAAAGCAGAAAGCTGAGAAACAGTTTTTACAGCTAGTATCTGATAACGGCCTTGTTTCTCAACTATATAGGGAACTGAGTCAAGTTTATAGAAATAAAAGTCATTCTGCAATTGATAAATGGTCAAAGGATATGAACAGGCAATTTTTAGATGAAGAAATTCAAACTATGTATAATCATATGAAAAAATGCTCTAAATCACTATTGATTAGAGAAACGCAAATCAAAACAATTCTGAGGTACCCCCTCACACCTATCAGATGATTGACTAATACAGAAAAGGAAAATGATAAATGTTGGAGATGTGGGAAAATTGGAACACTTATGCATTGTTGGTGGAGTTGTGAACTTATCAACCATCCCGGAGATCCCCTTGAAACTATGCCCAAAGGGCTGTGAAACTGTGCATACCCTTTGATCCAGCAATACCACTACTAGGTCTGTCTCTCAAAGAGATCACAGACAAAGGAAAAGAACCCACATGTACAAAAATATTTATAGCAGCTCTTTTGGTGGTGGCAAAGAATTGGAAATTAAGGGGATGCCCATCAATTGGGGAATGGCTGAACAAGTTGTGGTATATGAATGTAATGGAATACTATTGTGCTATAAGAAGTGATGAGCAGGCAGACTTCCAAAAGACCATTGTACACAGTAAAAGCCACATTATGTGATGATCAACTATAACAGACTTAGCTCTTCTCAGCAACATAATGATCCAAAAGACTGTGACGGAAAATGCTACCCACATCCTGAGAAAGAACATGGAGTCTGAATGCAGATGGAAGCACCCTATTTTCACTTCTTTTTCCTTTCTGTTTTTTTCGTTCTCTTGGTTTTTCCCTTTTGTTCTGATTCTTCTTTCATACTACTAATGTGGAAATATGTTTAACATGATTGTACATGTATAATCTATATCAGATTGATTGCTGTCTTGGGAAGGGAAGGGAGGAAGAGAGAGAAATTTGGAACTCAAAATCATACAAAAATGAATATTGACTGTAAGTGAAAAAAAGGGAGTTCATGAAACTTCATAACTAGATTATGTTCAAGATTGCTAGGTCCCATGTCTTTTCAGATAATTAACAGATGCAATAACAAGGAAATGCTAAACATTTAGGTATTACAAGGATGATGATGCTTGTGTGTGAGTTGATATGTATGTGTATTTATAAATAAATCTCAGTTTTCATGTATTGTTTAAAAGTTGAACAGGATTTGTTTACCATGCCTTTTCCTTTTAGTATCAATTTGTTAGAGATTTAGGGTTTTAATGTGAACTTTCTTTCTCTCTCTCTTTCTCTCTCTCTCTCTCTCTCTCTCTCTCTCTCTCTCTCTCTATATATATATATATATATATATATATATATGTATATATATACATATATATATACATATATATATATATATACATATATATATATATATACATTTTTTTTTACCTGAAACATTCTCCTCCTTAGTGTTTTGATGGTTTTTTTTTTTAATGTTTTCAGATTCGTTACATTTCACAAACACAAGGTCTGCCAGCAGAATATCTTTTGAGTGCAGGAACAAAAACAAGCAGGTTTTTCAACAGAGATCCTAATTTGGGTTACCCGCTGTGGAGATTAAAGGTCTGTTTTTTATTTTCTTTCACTAAATCCTAAGAATTCATCATTTTAGCATAAGATCCTTATGTAAGTTAAAATGAACATAAGTGTTTGATAACTGCTTTTTAAAAATGATTTTATGTTATGTTCATTTGGCCATAGCCCACTGGTAAAGATTTATTTTAAAATGTCAGATATTTGATGTTATTTTGCTTGTTTGGAATCAGTAGTTGTGAAAGACTTAAGTGGTATGAAGAACTAAACTAATTTATGTAATGACCATCTATCAGGGAATGTTTATTCTGCTTGTCAAAAACCCAACGTATTTTTCTGGTGGTACTAAGCATTGAGGTCTTAGGTGTTTCCTGAAAATAAATCTCTTTCTTTTTTTTTTCTTGGGCCTGCTTCTCTCTCTTAAGAGAATCTCTCCTTGTAGTAATTTGATTAACCCCTGGTGCTTTGTCTTCTTGGCTTACTGGATACCAAATACCTTTAGTTTCTGTCACTGGTGTTGTCTCATAAATTATATCCAAGCAGCCTCCAGAAAAGACTGGATGTTGTCATCTGCCAGGAACTGTGTTAGGCCACCGGGTTGTGTGCTTATGGTTTTTTTTTTTTTAACCAGCTCTGAAAGGATGGCCAGATACAGAATTCACTTCTCTTTGTTTGTGTATTGCACATTTTTGTTTGTTGTCTGTAGTTGGCAGGGTGGCTACACTTATTTCTTTGCTTTCTGGCCTTTATTTAAAACAAAATGTGAACATTGCAGCCAAATGGATTTTATCCCCCCTCTACAAATCATGTTTTACAGACACCAGAGGAACATGAATTAGAAACAGGAATAAAATCAAAAGAAGCCCGGAAGTACATATTCAACTGTTTAGATGACATGGCCCAGGTGAGTTATTGTGCAGGTCCCATTAAATGTTACCTTTCTAAATAGATAGGCCTAAAGAAGAAATGACTGTACTTAAGCAGCTTGATATATACTCATTGCTTGAAGAAAGAAATTTGCATATGAATTCAAATATGTGATTAAAGGGCATTTAAATCTTGCCAAGAGATTACTTTTAGAAATACTTGTTTCTCACTAATTTCTGATTATCTGTTCTAGTTGGGCTCAGATATTTTATGAAATGTGTTTAGTAGCAGGTTTCTTCTGCATTCTGATTCTTCTAAACAATAAATAAAATAAGTTTCGGAGATTTGGAATGCTTATTTGTGTGTCTCTAAATTTTATGAAAAATAGTGAAAAAATACTTTATGTTTTTAATCATTTAGAAATTCTTGGCAGTTTGACAAATTTGGGGTAGGTTTTTGGTCACACAATAAGGAGAACTTCTTTTAGTTTGGATACTTAGGGAATCCATTAATAAAAGGAATTTTTTGAGTATTCCTCTATTGGGGAATCCATATTTTGGGGAAAAAGCAAATGACTGATGTCTGTAATTAATGTTTTAAGTAATTGAAAATGACATTTCCAAATTTTTCTTGGGAAGGTGAATATGTCTACAGACTTAGAGGGAACTGATATGTTGGCAGAAAAGGCGGATCGAAGAGAGTACATTGATTTGTTAAAAAAGATGTTGACAATTGATGCAGATAAGAGAATTACTCCACTGAAAACCCTCAACCACCCATTTGTGACAATGACTCATCTTCTGGATTTCCCACACAGCAATCAGTGAGTTCGGGGTAATTTTGGCATTGGGGAATTTTAGCCATAGTTTTTAGTTTGTGTTAAAATTTGTACTGCCCACTTCATTCCCTCCTAGTAGTTAAAGAAAACTCTTGACTTGAGTACCACTTTAGTTCTTATATATTTGGATCTTTGGTGTATTTTTTCTTTTAATTTCCAAATCATGAGGTTTGGATCTTTGGTGTATTTTTTCTTTTAATTTACAAATTATGAGGTTACAGTTCAGTTGCCAATTTTTCTTTGTTTTTAATCAAGAAATGTCTTTTTAAAGGTATATTAAGCCCCTTTATACCCACATAATGATTTTTTTAAAACCCCATAAAAAACACGCTCTTTGTATTAATACCGAGGATTGTGCATTGTGTGTTTGCATGGTATGTATGCTGCTTTTCTGGACGAGTCCTGAATCTTCAATCTTTGTGTTGCAGTGTTAAGTCATGCTTTCAGAATATGGAGATCTGCAAAAGGAGAGGTCACATGTATGATACGGTAAAACAGATCAAGAGCCCGTTCACCACCCATGTTGCCCCCAACACAAGCACAAATCTAACTATGACCTTCAGCAACCAGCTCAATACCGGGCACAATCAGGTATGCCGGGAGCTGGACAAAACCATTTTGGAAATGTAAAGCAAAGTGGGACAAAATTGAAGGTGGTCCGATGTAGCAGCAGGGGTAGGTAGAGAGTAGTCTTTGTTGAGGAAGCTTTGTTATGACATAAGGAATTAATTCTTCATTGTGGTGGTACTGTGATTGTATCAAAAGTAAAGCACCCACTCAAAAAGAGAATTACACAAATCTGATCCCTGCCCTGTGAGAGCTTTCAGTTTACAAAAAGATCAAGAAAATGGAACCAAACTCTTGAGCTTTTTGCTAGCTGTTAGTTGTAGTCCTGGGCCTTAGGCTCATGGCTGTTAGTATGACTTGTTAGGATAACCTCACTTTGAGCTGATCATGTTGAGTGGTATTTCTGCTAGTTAACTTTAACAGTTTATAATTTTAATTTATTATTTAAAAAAAATCATGTTTAAGTCTAGGCTTTTGAAAGCCTAGGTTTAATGTTTAAATTGGACTCATTTTTAAAAGTAAAAGGTTGGTTAAAGATTTTTGTGTGTGATAGTGGGGTTTAGATGAAAGGGAGCATTGTGGCATTTCCAATCCTGCCCCTTTTTACATGGAATGATGCTGGGACAGCCACTTTTGATTGGTTTGGGAACCAAAGAAGAAGTATATATTTTAAGGGGGAATGACCATTTAACTACATTTTTGACTTTTTTTTTTTTTTTGGTGAGGCAGTCGGGGTTAAGTGACTTGCCCGAGGTCACACAGCTAATAGGTGTCAAGTGTTTGGTCTGAGGGCGGATTTGAACTCAGGTCCTCCTGACTTCAGGGCCAGTGCTGTATCCATTGCGCCACCTAGCTGCCCCCATTTAACTGCATTTTTGAGACTGAGAATTTGTCTTAAGTCAAAAGGTTATTCAAAGACAATCATATCCTAGTTCTTTAGTTTCAAAATTTTAGCTGTTGGATAAATGTTATGTGTGGATGTAGTGCCCCCTGGCCCATCCTCCATTGTACAATTCTAACCTTTGTGTTTTTTAGGCCAGTGTTTTAGCGTCCAGTTCTACTGCAGCAGCTGCCACTCTCTCTCTGGCTAATTCAGATGTCTCCCTGCTAAATTACCAGTCTGCTCTGTACCCATCATCGGCAGCACCTGTTGCAGGAGTTGCCCAGCAAAGTGTTTCCCTGCAGCCTGGAACTACTCAGATTTGCACTCAGACAGATCCATTCCAGCAGACATTCATCGTGTGTCCACCTGCTTTTCAAAGTATGTGGGGAAAAACCCTGTCTTACCCAATTGGGACTCTGCCGTGTCTGCTTCAGGCAACTTATTGCGCTTTGTATATGTTTTCGTCCTTCCCTCTGGAAGCTTAGTTATTCTTGAATCTTACAGTCAGAGTAATTGGAGATCAGGTCATGGCACCAGTCAGTCTCGTTCCCTGCTGTTTCCTCCTCCCTTCCTACTGGTCAGATGCCCCTCCTCTTACATTCAAGGTCTGATGGTGTTTTGGATCTAGAACACATATACAGAGTAAATAAATACATCTTCAAAAAGTTGGCTGTAAATGGAATTCTATATTAAATTTCATTTTTATTACAAAATTGTAAGAAGTACATAATAAAATCAAACTTAAAATAGAAATTTAGAGCTGAAAGTTACCTTAGACACATTTTGTCTAGCCTCCTCATTTTAAAGATGAGGAAACTGAGGCAGAGTTGAGGAAAAACATGTTTAGATGAAAAAAATTAGAATTATCTGATAAAATATTAATCACAGTACTTAAATTAAATTACAAAATAAAAGCATTCAGTAAGGAAAATTCCCAAAGCCTTGCCACATGCAGAGGAGGAACAAGAGAAGGAGTTAGGATTTTCTTATGTTGTGAATCATTTTTTTCTGCTTCTGGCTGCATTATTTACAGAAGAGTAAGACAGCTGGTGAGGGGGAAGCTTTGTCTTAGGGTGTCTCAAAAAAGTATTTTTGTTTCTCCTCTGTTCCTCCTCTTCCATGATTGTATTATAATCTTGAGGGAAAGACCCGTAACTCTTCCCTGTCTGGCTCTTCTTTCTGTAAAGAGGGAAAACATGTTTAGTGGTGTGACAAGTCTTTTAAGAAGTCTCTATGGTATGTTAAACAAACCTTCTGAGCACGATCCCTAGTTCCTGAGTAGAGGGATGCTGGGGCTAGATCTCCAAGGCAGCAGACCAGAATTTAGAGTACTTTCAGATGCTTGCTAGCCCTTTAGAAGCAAGGTTGTCCGTTGCTTTATATTGGTTGCTGATTGACTGTCACTCTTGTTTGTCTGGTTTCTGACAGTCAGAGGAAGCAGGAAGGAAGGGAGGGCTAGGGGAGACAAATTACTGGGATGGCAGGAGAGCAATAGCCATGTATATACCACTGAGAAGCCTCAGGGAGAGCTGAGGAGTAGATTCAAATTTCCGTAAATGCAAATTTAACCTAATCTATGCTAATTTCCCAGATGTATAAGGTTTATACCAGAAAAATTCCCTATGTATTGGGTTTTAATGCCTGATAAAAGTAATTGGGTATTGAATAATACCTGTGCTGGACTGCTTCCTTTCCTTCTTACCCGACCCTGCCACCTCTCTACCTCAACATCTTAAACTGTGCTTCTCAGGCAGTTTTCACAGCTCTGGCCCCATGAATTGGCTGTTGCTTCTCAGTTGGAGCTTTTGAGGGCATAGGAGAGCTTGAGGGAAAAATAACTTCTGAAGACTCAGGGAAAAGTCTTGTTTTGGTCTTATTAAATGTCTTAGCTGTGGTGGATGGAGCTCGAGAAGCAGTTGTTCTATATCAGAGGCTTCTTACATCTAAGCTCAGGACGTGTATATGGAGCGTAAGCCCCTCGACAAATTCTTCTCCTGTCCTTGTGATTATTCTGGTGTCTAGAACTAGATAAGAAGGGAAGTGGAAAACTGAAAATGGATAAGCATAGGTATACAGTATAGCAGCTTATAAGGAAGTGTGAAAGTGGGTGTTTGAAGAGTTGTCTGGTTAGAGGTCAGCTTGAACAGTCATACCTGCATGGCTTTGGTGCTTGTAAGTCTCCTATAGGAGACAGTGTCAGAAGTGAAAGTAATTCATTCACATGAAGGTAACTCATGGTCTTTTTTGAGCTTAAGATAGACTATTTTTGTACTCCTATATCTCAATATTCTTATCTTGTAATTCCATGTTGATTTCTAATATTTAAATCATTGTACTTGATTGGTGTCCAACTCGTGACTTACATGCAGTTGTCAGCTCTGAACAAGTTAACTTGGAATCAGTGTCCTTTCTAGTGACCACAGATTTAGAAGCCCATGACTTTTAGGGTACTGTTTTCTGCATTATTGAAATTGGATGGATAGATGTGGCTTTTGTCAAAGGTGACTCTTAAAATCCCACAGTTTTGTTTTAGAGCTTTACCATGGAAGTGACAACTGAGCTTGAGCTCCTTCAGTGAATTTTTCTTTCTGAAATTTTCTATCCCTAGTGTTAGCAATTTAGAGGAAGCTGCCACATTAATAGAGATTTGCAGGTAGCCATATGCTTTAGGCATACGGTCAGATTGTTTAATTACCTGGTGAGATTATGCAACCCAAGAAGGGAGGAGGGTTGGCACTTTTTTTAATCTGATCTTAGATTGTATTAAAGTTGTTTCTGAAAATATCATTTTAATCCCATCTTATTTTCTTTAGTTTATTTGGTACAATTTTGGATTGGCCTCTCCCTTTAGTCTAGCATGTTAGGATGCAGCTGAAGTGGAAAATGTTGGTAGACCAATTTGCTGCAGACAGCAAAAGTTGTTACATTTGGGGATTGTTCTTCTCTCATACCAGCATAGCAATAGTAGGAGAGTTTGAGAGATGATGATAGCTTAGAAAATGTCACTGGAGGAGTCCTCTGATTGGAATGGCTCGTGTTCTGATCAAAGAAAACTGGGAGGCTTGAGTGGTATGGAGGAAAATAATGATTACCTGTAGACAAAGCTGACGTTCTCTTAGTTTTGATTTTATCATTTGGTTGGTCATTGGTAAATTAGAGGGATGTTTTCCTAATAATTTTTTGCTCCTTTTCTTAATTCTAATAAAAAAAGAAAACTCTCTAGAGTCTTATCCCCTTTTCTCATCTTCCCTTTTCCCCAGGTGAAATATTTTCATTTGTTAGAAAGGTCTGTGAAGTCTTGATATGACCACAGGCCTTTCCTAGAAACCTTGGTTAAAATGGTTTTGCTGCTGTGGCTCTGGGGAAGTGAGGAAAGCGGCCTTTTCTTCATAGCAGCATGCTAACTACAAGAGAGGTTGGCCATGCTTGTTAGACAAGCTGTTGTTGATAAAGCTTTGCAACAGTGACTCAAAGGCATCTGGTTAAATTTCTAAAATAAATAGAAAAAAATGTATCTTAAACAGAACTAACTTTATTGTGTTTCTAATTAGTTCAAGTATTAGTCCCTTGAATTTCGGTAGTGATATTTTTTAAAAGGAAATGAGTCATTTCTTAACTAGGATTTTTTTTTGGTAGAATAAGGGGGAAGACATAAGGGGGAAGACCCCCTTCAAAACCTACAAGTTGAATCTTAGGTGAATATGCTTTCTATTGTTTTGAATAGTGCCATCTTAGCTGCTAAGCCAAGAGAACTGTAGCATCTTTATATTCCTGTAAATGTAAAACACATTTATAAAGAGCATAAACATATTTGTATTGTTGCTCTACATTCAAATCATGTTTAAGCAAAATGGTCCCATTTTGAAAAACAAGTTTACATTTTTACCTTGATGGACCAAAATGGGTGTGAGAAGATATAGATAGGAATAAGAAACATTTATTGGAACTAATTATCTTTAGATCACAATAGTATGGTTAGGTCATATAACTTGCAGAGTAACTTTTAGTCCGTACTGATAGGGAGAGGATGGAGAAATGAGTTCAGTGGTACTTCTTATGTCATGAAGAAGTATCATTCTATTTTTTTATTAAAGGAGGGTCTAGAGCTTACTGAAACCAGGTGGTCCTTGAGCAAACCTCTTCCAGCAGTCTGTTCTGGAGAGAGCCATTTTGCTTTCCTTGACCCCTGAAAACATGGTCCTTTCTCAAAAGTCCTTTGCCTCAAGTGGCAGCGCCTAGGGCTTGAGGGCGCAGCGTCTGGCTCCTCAGTAAAGCAATCTCACCGTGTTATTGTTCCTGGCAGCTGGACTCCAGGCACCTGCGAAGCATTCTGGATTCCCTGTGAGGATGGACAATGCCGTGCCAATTGTGCCCCAAGCGCCTGCTGCTCAACCGCTACAGATCCAGTCAGGAGTTCTCACCCAGGTAAAACAGCCAGGACACATTGGAGACCCAGTGACTCTGAAATACTAGTTCGAGCTGGCTTTCGCTGGTCTCTGACAACTGTCCCTTGTAATGGTCTTTGCTCTGACTAGCAGATCTTTCTTGGTCATAATTTGGTGGACGTAAAACCAAACCTCTCTGTTGAATGACAGTAGTTGAGATGCTCGGTTCTGTTAATGGGTTTTTTAGATTGGCAAGAGTAGAAGCCAGGCAGCAGGAAAGTAGGTATTCACCTGAGTGGGACTTTTCCAGCTCCTGGGGCTTGAATTGGAACCCTCCTTTTGATTGATAGTTGATAGGCATATAGGACACACACATGATATTTTGATTCTAAAATACATGATATCCAGGTGGTTCTTCTGGTCATCTGAGTCTGGGAAGCTGGATCACAACCTCATACTCCTTTAAAGAAAGAATCCTTCTGTTTCCTCTGATCCTAGTGTGTTGATTTCATTAGGTCTTAAGAAGAATAAAGAATTGATACTTTTTATAGCACATGCAACTGAGAATTCAGGATGGCCTATGGTATGTGTATATAAATAACTAACTTGTTATGATTCAGATGTATACAATTTTGGTCCTTGGCTATGTCATGAATCCTAAAATCTTATTTTGAGAGAGGGAATAAACAATTTTTTAAATGATTTCATAATTGACTGAGTTTCAAAGAACTAGTCCTCTGAATCTACCCCAGGAAAGATTCCTAGACTTTTTCCCCTTGGTCCATTGGTATTTGGCCTAATGGGTGACCTCTGTGGAGAACTGAAGGGGAAGGTTATGGATTGTTGATATGTGTCAGTAATGATTCTGGGGTGGGGCAAGTACTTTCTGAACCCAGTTAACCTGCCTGCGTGTGTTTGTTTCACTCACCTGCCTGATCTACATTTCAGGGAAGCTGTACACCACTAATGGTAGCAACTCTCCATCCTCAAGTAGCCACCATCACACCGCAGTATGCGGTGCCCTTTACTCTGAGCTGCGCAGCCGGCCGGCCGGCGCTGGTTGAACAGACTGCCGCTGTACTGGTAATTCCCCTCACTTGATTGTGTTACTAACGGAGTTTCTTTGGTTTCTTTTTTTTCTGTTTGTTTTTTGTTCTGTTTTCTCATTTTTTTTTAAACTTAGACCTTGCAGAGGGCATGGAAGCATGTGCCATCTTGTGGCTGTGTTCTTGCTCCATCTTTAATGTCTTGTTGTTTTCCTCCCTGACACTTGCTGAAGCACTGTCTGACTGACGTTCAGGGTGGCTGTGTAAAGATTCCAGAACCTTTGGCTTCTGTTCTTTACCAGCCTAATGGGGTCAGCCCCTGAAGAGCTTCTGCTAGTTTGTGCTTACTGTCCTAGCTTTGCCCTCGGACCCTTGAGAATAAAGGAAGTGGGCTTGAGTTTGGCTTGGCTACGAGGCACCCCCTGGATGGCCAGCATGTGAATTTCTTGGCAAGCCATTAGCTTTACTCTTTGTTTTGCTCTTTGAATCGTCTCTGTACATAGACATGTGGAACATGATGCTTAAGCTGTGGTTACAACTCACACCAGCAATGCTTTTAGTCTGTTGCTTTAGTCGTTGGTATTAACCTTCTTTGAACACATGGAAAGAGTGGCTAGCCTTTAATTATCCATAATCAATCAATGACAACTTCCATCATCTAGTTAAAGATGTTGCTCCCTTTAGATGATTTTAGATCATGTTTCAGTTTTGGCTGAAATTAAAGGTGAGCTAATTTTTAGGGTATGAGATACCCTGTATTTTACGGTAAATGTAAGTTACTCATCTATGCTAGGGTATAAAGATTTTTTTTTATCTAGAGGTAAAAATGCATCTTACACTTAGGTGCTAGGCTGGTGGTATTTGAATTCAAAAAACAATTGAATTGGGGAAGTCTAGAGCAGTAACAACTGTAGCATTAGGGGAATGATAGAAAAAGTGGGCCTTAAAGGTACATTTTAGGATCGATCACCATTTAAAGAGTGATTGTTCCTGTGCTTGGCTTTTATTTTTTGCATTGGAATTGGCTAATGGAGATCTAGCATTTCTCTTATTTGGAAAACTCCTAAATTAAATGAGAAAGGCTTTTGAACTCCTCATGATGCACTTGGGTCTCAGAGCAAATATGAATTTGTTCTTTGTGGCTCATGTCAGCTATTCTTCTTCCCTGAAACACTCATTAGTTCTTGGGAGGACTGTCCTTTCATTCATGCACAACTTGGCTATATAGTATTTTGAAGCATTGGTGAAGGAGCGTAACCCTAGTCTCTAAAGCATGTCAGTGACGTAAAGCCCATATGGCAAGGTGGTCAGAAATTTTTACAACTTTCTTGACAAGCCCCTGGTTCTAACTTGCTTACCTGGAGTTTAGAAGTCAGGAGTGTTAGCTGACACTTCTTATTTGCTGCTTTTCCTCAGTTTGCACTAGCCATTTGCTAAGCTTTGCATATTTTTGTCTTTCCTTTGTCAAAACAGTTCGTCGCTTGGAACGCCAGATTTCTGCCTCACCTTGGGATGTTATTTCTTGCTCTGTATTAAACTACATGCTTTGTCTCGTGCAGGTGTTGGCTTTTGGAAAAACGCATGGTGTGACTTAACACATTTCTCTTTTTTTTTTTTTAAATTATTCTGCTTTATGGTAACAGACGTGTTTGCAGTTTCTCTGCTTTGAAGGCTTCTTGTTTGGAACCAGTATTTGTAATAAGTGGGTCTGTTACTTGCAGAAATATTTTACAAACACTATGTGTGTTGATAGTCTTGCAGTTTTAAATTCAAGAAACAGACCCATCTGTCCCCCCCAGCATTGTAGGTGTATTGTACTGCAGAATATCAGTCGAAAAAGGAAGTGTGCAAATCTGCTTCCATTTTTTCCAGGAAATACCGGAATCTTGGGAGCAGCAGATGCAGTAAACATGTTTGCTGCTATGTGTATTGTTAATAATGTGGCATTTAGCAAAGTAGAAGTAATATATCCATAGCGATATGTTTTTATGGAACTTTAAAAAAAAAGGTCAAGACAAAAATTTTTTTTGGAGAAATAGAATACTTGTTGGTATTATGAACAAATACCTTTTCTTTTTTTTTCTTTTTTTTAAAATATAAATTTATTTATTTTTAGTTTTCAACATTCCCTTCCACAAGTTTTTGAGTTCCAAATTTTCACCCCATCTCCCCCCCCCCCCCAAAGATGTCATGCATTCTGAATATCCCTTCCCTACTCTGTCCTCTCTTCTATCTCTCTCCCTTCTCTTATCCCCTTCCCTTCTATTTTCCTGTAGGGCAGGATAGCTTCTGCACCCATTTCCTATATTTATTTCCCAGTAGCATGTGAAAACATTTTTTTAAACATATGTTTTTAAAACTTTAGGTTTCAAATTTTCTCTCTTCCTCCCTCCCCACCCACCCTCATTGAAAAGGCAAGCAACTCAATATAAGTTGTACATGTGCAGTTATGCAAAACACGTCCATAGTAGACATGTTGTGAAAAACTAACTCTATTTCCCTTAATCGTATCCTGCCCTCCCACTTATTCTATTCTTTCTTTTGACCCTGTCCCTCCTCAGAAGGACCCTTTAACCTCTTTCCCAATCTGCCCTCCTCTCTATCATCCACCTGCTCTCTTGTCCCCTTCTCCCCCTATTTTCTGTAGGGTAAGACAGATTTCCATACCCAATTGAATGTGTATGTTATTCCCTCCTTAAGCCAAATCCTATGAGAATAAGATTCCTCATTCCCTCTCACTTCCCCTGTTCCCTTCCACTGTAAGAGACTTTCCTTTTCTGTTTTTTTTTGTGAGATAATTTACCCCATTCTACCTCTCCCTTTCTTCTTCTCCGAGTATAATCCTCTCTCATCCCTTAATTTTATTCTCCAGATATGACCCCTTAATCTTCAGCTCACCCTGTGCCCTCTATCTATCTATCTATCTGTATATACATACATATAATTTTTTTCCTCCAATTACCCTGATACTGACAAAGGTCTCATGAGTTATAAATATCATCTTTCCATGCAGGAATGTAAACAGTTCAATCTTAATAAGTCTCTTATGATTTCTCTTTCCTGTTTACCTCTTCATGTTCCACTTGAGTCCTGTATTTGAAAGTCAAATTTTCTATTCAGCTCTGGTCTTTTCATCAGGAATGCTTGAAAGTCCTCTATTTTACTGAATGACCATTTTTTCCCCTGAAGGATTATACTCAGTTTTGCTGGGTAGGTGATTCTTGGTTGTAATCCTATCTCCTTTGCCTTCCGGAATATTATATTCCATGCCCTGCGGTCCTTTAATGTAGAAGCTGCTAAATCTTGTGTTATCCTGATTGTGTTTCCACAGTACTTGAACTGTTTCCTTCTGGCAGCTTGTAATATTTTCTCCTTGACCTGGGAACTCTGGAATTTGGCTACAATATTCCTAGGAGTTTTCCTTTGGGGATCTCTTTCAGGAGGAGATCTGTGGATTCTTTCAATTTCTATTTTGCCCTCTGGTTCTAATATCAGGGCAGTTTTCCTTGATAATTTCTTGAAAGATGATGTCTAGGCTCTTTTTTTGATCATGGCTTTCAGATAGTCCAATAATTTTTAAATTCTCTCTCCTGGATCTATTTTCCAGGTCAGTTGTTTTTTCCAATGAGATATTTCACATTGTTTTCTAATTTTTCATTCTTTTGGATTTGTTCTACTGTGTCATGATTTCTCATAAAGTCACTATCTTCCAATTGCTCTATTCTAATTTTTAAGGAAGTATTTTCTTCAGTAAGCTTTTGGACTTCCTTTTCCATCTGGCCAATTTTGCTTTTTAGGGCATTTTTCTCCTCATTGGCTTTTTGGACCTCTTTTGCCATTTGGGTTAGGCTATTTTTTAAGGTGTTATTTTCTTCAGTATTTTTTGGGTCTCCTTTAGCATCACTCTCAGTTTTTCCTCTTTCTCTAACTTGCTTCTCAAAATTGTTTTTGAGCTCTTCCATGGCCTGGGACCAATTCATATTTTTCTTGGAGGCTTTGGATGTAGGGGCTTTGACTTTGTTGTCTTCTTCTGGTTGTATATTTTGGTCTTCTTTTTCACCAAAGTAAGATAATATAGTCTGACTCTTTTTGCGCTGCTTGCTCATGATCCCGGCCAATTACTTGAGTTTTAAACTCTTTGTTAAGGTATGAATCTGCTTCCAATGTGGAGAATGTACTGTCCCAAGCTTCGGGGGTTTGTACAGCTGTTTTCAGAGATACTTGTAGGGACCTGTAAATTTTCAGTTCTTCCAAGGTGGTATGATAAGGGGCAGGTGTTTACTCCTTTCCTGGCCTGCGACTACAAGTACTCCTTTCTGTCCTGTTACTGTGATGAGGTGCTCCTCTCCACAACCACTACAAGCTCCACCAAGCCAGCGCTCCTCCTCACCCCAGCACTGCTGCCCAGAACTGTGGCCCAGATCCAAACATGGGCAAAGCAAGAGATTCCTGCCTCAGCACTGGCAAAGAGATCCCTGCAATCCCTCTCTGATCAGCCACTGGATTCCCCCTCAGTCTGTGGGCCAGAAGCTAGGGAAGCAGCTGCCCCCTCCCCCAGGGCCACGCTCTTGGGGAATGGAGCTCAGACCCTGCCTTCCTTTCTCAGGCACCAACAGAAACAGACTTTTCCCACTGACCTTCTAATTTGTCTTTGGCATTGGTGGATTGAGGAGTCTGGAAACCTGCACAGCTGCTGGAGATTCATCCTCTGAGGCCTGCTCCAGGTTTTCTGCAGCCTGCGTGCCCACGCTGTGCCTGCGCTGTGCTCCCAGCCCGGCGTGATACACCTTTCTGATCAATCATCCAGGTTGTCTTGGGCTGGAAATTTGTTTCACTCTGTCTTTTTGTGGGTTCTGCTGCTTCAGAATTTGTTTAGAGCTATTTTTTATGAGTATTTGGAGGAGGAGAGCTCAAGCAAGTCACTGCTTTCACTCCGCCATCTTGGCTCCGCCTCCCCACAAATACCTTTTCTTCAGTTCTTTATTTTCATATTCTATAATCATGCATCTATACATGTCTATGTTTAGTTAGGTTGTGCTTGATAGCATACGCCTGATTTCTGCCAAATAACTTGATCTTTGGTCATTCACATGTCATATCTCCATTTTCTTAAGTCTTTCTTTTATTCAAAAAGATATGATGGACCTACTTTTTTTTTTGTGGATTGAATTGGTCTCATGCATGTTATATGCTTACACTTAGGTTTGATAATTGTTTTTAATTTCATTGTGATTCAGCCTTTTTGTATTCTTTTTTTAGGAATGTAGCCCTAGGTACTTTGTAGAAATAACCCCCCTCCCCCAGCACACCCCCCAGCATTCAATAGAATTGTGTCTATGAACTTTGATTGTTTTCCTCTGCAGTACAATAGCAACTTTTACCATAGAGAAATTTTTTTCCTCCAATTGCCAGGGGGAGAGCTTCTGGGATGGGTGGCCAAAAGATAATAGTACCTCACTTTTTTTTCCTCATGATAAGAATTAAAACCATGAGCCCCTCTGACCTTTCTTTCTTCTTTGTAATTTTTGCAAGTTAACAATCTACAAATAACTTTTTGTTTAAAATAAACTTTGAATTTAATTTTTCTCGAGGGGGGCCAATGATAAGTCAAGTTTGGGTCTCTGTATGTGTGCTTCCTTACAGCAGGCCTGGCCTGGAGGGACCCAGCAGATACTCTTGCCTTCAACTTGGCAGCAGTTGCCTGGGGTAGCTCTGCACAATTCTGTCCAGCCCACAGCAGTTATTCCGGAGACCATGGGGAGTAGCCAGCAGCTGGGAGACTGGAGGCAAGTGTCTTGCTATTGCTTTGTGAGTGACTATTCAAGGATGAGAAAAGCCACTAGAGTGTGGGGGGCTTTGGTGGCATAGGGAGTATGGGAGAATAAAGGGAGGGGAGAGACTTAGCCTTATTTTAAAATCCCTGGGAGTATATTATTCAAATCAGGTAGAGACATAAGGTCATTGAAAAAGTTGCTAATGGGGGCAGCTAGGTGGTGCAGTGGGTAGAGCACTGGCCCTGGATTCAGGAGCACCTGAGTTCAAATCTGGCCTCAGACACATAACACTTACTAGCTGTGTGACCCTGGGCAAGTCACTTAACCCCATTGCCTAGCCAAGAAGAAGAAAAAGCTTCTAATAAGGGAAAGATTGACCCCTAAGATCAAGAAACATCTAGGTTGGTGTTAAATAATTTCTTGGCCAGCAATTTCAGAAAATGTAAGATGACATAGTAGAAATGTAAGCCTAATAATAATCCATGGGCCAGATTTTAAGAGAAAACCAATCTCTCTCTCCCCACCCCATCCCCCTGCAACTCCTTTTCCTCCCTCCCTCCCCCCACTCTTTTTCTTTCTCTCCCTCTCTCTCCCTTCCTCCTTTTTTCCCCTCCCTCCATCCCTCCATTGTTTGGCTGCTTTGCCTCTTAGCTTCTTTTGATTCTATCTTCCTCAGATCTAAAGAATTCAGTCTCTTTTGCCTCCTTTTGTTAACCCAGGAATGCTCACTCACATGGCAGCCAGTACAGTACCCTCATGCAGCAGCCCTCCCTGCTGACGAACCATGTGACTCTGGCCACAGCTCAGCCTCTCAACGTTGGTGTTGCTCATGTCGTCAGGCAGCAGCAGTCTGGTTCCCTCCCCTCCAAGAAGAACAAGCAGCCGGCCCCAGCCAAGTAAGTTGTTTCTGGGGATGTCTGAAACCATGTGCCTGCTTGGCAGGATTTTGTTGCCTAATTCTTGGGGGGCTGCAGTGAAGTATCTTGCCTAATGGCATGTCAGGTTTAGTAGTTACATTGTCAGGTGGAATTTTGGATGGTTTGTCTTTCTGTCAGAGCAGGATGACGTAAGTGTCTGCTTCCTAGTCACTGTCATTCTTTCTTTCTGGGGTCAGCGTTTTCTTAACGTGTAAGATCATTTTCACGTCTGTCCATTTGACTGGGAGGTTTCATAAAAGGACGGTGTTTCCCTTTGTACCTCTTGCTCTTTGCTTAGGAACTGTTTATAATAGTCAGTGTATTTGTTTTCATTATAATTACTTTCTTATTGTTAAATCTGTCATTTTAATTATAAAAGAAAAGAAAAATCAACAGCTTTAAATGGGAAAAAAATAAAGTAGGGAAGCTGGTGAAAATATTCCTCATTGGCCTTTATTTCCCTGTGACCTTTTCTTGCAGAACTGTCTCCACATTGGATGTCTTACCTACCCAAGTCTATTCACTGATTGGGAGCAGCCCACTCCGTACCAACTCTTCCTATAATCCCCTGGCCCCTGTGCAGGATCAGCCCCAGCCCATCATCATCCCAGACACCCCCAGCCCTCCTGTGAGCGTCATCACCATCCGCAGTGACACCGACGAGGAGGAGGACAGCAAGTATAAGCCCAGCAGGTAAAGCGGGTGGAGGGCTGTCTGGCCACGTGGTCCCTGCCCTTGGCTTCGGACTGCGGACTCCTGCCCACTGGTGACTCAGCTGAGCCTCTGTGGAAAGCAGGCATTGTGATGGGAAGAAAGGACTCAGAGGAAAGTCATCTGGGGAGTGTGGCCGTGCTTGAGGCTCAGTCCGCTCCTGAGATCCCTCCCTGAGCCCTGGGAACAGACTTGGCTGTGCAGTGCTCCTGTCCTATTGTACATTTCAGCCAACTAAATCAGTTTTGCAGAGAAGTCAATCAGTAAGTTTTTCTTGAGCTCACAGGGTGCATTGGCCATGTCCTAAGTGCCTGGGGTGGGCCAGGAGTGTTCTCACCATGAGGAGCTTTATAGCTTAAACAGGGGAGAGATGAAGGAGCCAAAATGTGTAATACTTCACTTTTGCAGAGTATTTGATGTGTCTTATGAGCACGTTCAAATGTATTACCTTATGCAGTCCTCACAGCAGCCCTGGGAGGTAAGCAAGACAGACGTGTTTATCTCCACGTTGGAGGAACTGGCCCGTGTTGTGACTCGCCCGAGGTCAGACAGTTAGTAAGCAGCAGAAGCAGTGCTAGGATTCTAGTTTCTGAGATGTAGTTTGGTATTCTTCTCACTACACCGTGCTGCTTCCTAGAATGAACACAAGCAGGGCAGGTCAGAGACAGTGGGGTGGATGGGTGGATAGATTGGCGTGGGGGCTGACATAATCTGAGAAGCCTTCTCAAGAAGGACAGCCTGAAACTGAACCAAGCACTAGTCTGATTTCCTTCTTCCACTGGCCAGTTTGCAAAAGAAAACCTTGGCTAGAAAGTTTGGCAGGGTTCAATGAAATGTATCACCTCCAAATGTTTAAGTTAAGAAGCACCCTCTACTTTGTTTAGAACCCCAGCTGGACATGATGGAGGTGAAGGGAAGAATGAAAAGGATGCCTTTGAAGAGCCAATAGTTTAATGAGGGAGGTAGCATGTATGTATGGAAAATAACGAGATAACAAGAAAATAACAATATTTAGTTGTATATAAATAAACTCAGATGAATTAGTGTACTGAAAACCCCAGTGCAGATCACAGGAGTGCTCTCAGCCGGGTGGGCTTAACTGGAAAGCTTCCTTAAAGAGGAGTGTGAGGCGAGGGGCAGTTGATAAAACTGGGTTTTGAAGATATTGACTTGAATTGGGGGAGACTAAAAGAGAAGAACATTTCAAGTGGGGAGAAGTGGATTGTGCAACGGCCCAGCAGAGAAGAAGAGCACAGAGCATGTAGGCTATGTGGACTGATATCGCTTAACCAACACAGAACAAAATCTGTTGGGAAATAATGAGAAACGAGGCCGGGGAGATGACCTTTACTACATGTGATGGGAAGTAGAGATTTCAGGCTGTAGGGTGTCAGCCACCATAGACTCTTGACTTCTCAAGAGTGACTGAAAAGTGGTATTTGAGAAGATTATTAGTTTTGCTTAGGATGTCTGGAAAGTACTAGAGACCTGAAGCAGGCTCACCAGCTAGGAGGCTTTGCCGAAAGGACAGTTGAGTTTTCATGAACTCTCTCCTCTGCAGCTCCAGCCTGAAGCCAAGGTCCAATGTCATCAGCTATGTTACTGTCAATGATTCTCCCGACTCCGACTCGTCTCTGAGCAGTCCGTATTCTACAGACACTCTGGCTGCAGTCCGGGGCAATCCAGGGCCCCTTCCGGAAGGACCTGGCCGGGCTGTGACAGACGGTCCTGGGGCACGAACCATTATTGTGCCACCCCTGAAAGCTCAACTTGGTGATTGTACAGTGGCAGCCCAGGCCTCAGGTGGGTGTCTGACCAATGCGAAGGGACAGTGCCTAGCTGTGAAAGGCTTTTCTGACCATCTAGGTTCTATTTACATGGAATTAACCTTACAGGCCTCTCCCACTTATCCATGCTGATGTTGTAGAGCAGCAGTGTAGGTTTTCCTAAAAATCAGCTACTCCGAAAAAAAATCAGTTCCATTTGGCTTTGCAGCACACTATGTATCAAATTGTTTTGGGCAGCATTTTATTTCAGCTGGTATTGAAAATGAGTGGCATTCCCTGAAGTATCCAGTTACTTCCAGTGGAGAGGTGGCTTAGATGTATGGATGACAGGGAGTAAGTGGCTTGGAATTACAAATTTGCATCAGAGGACCCAAAGCTGGACAGTCCTGAAGTAGAGAGTCGATAGAAAAATTCTAAAAAACAATTCCGGTCGGCCAAGATTCCGTCAGATCTTAAGGTAATGCTGTTAGTAGCAGTCTAGAAAAGGACGAGATCAGGATTATGTCACAGATTCCACTTTTTTCCTGTGTAGTCATTTCCTTTAGATCTGAGAGTATGGGCCCCCAGCTCAGTTACATGATGAGTGATTACTGTAGGCTGTCCTGTTGGTGAGTGATGGTTGTTTCTGTCTGGCATTTGAGACCTGGAATCCAGGAATTGAAAACCTTTCCAGTGCAGGCAGGTGAGCCCTCAACATAGCAAGCCACGGGATGAAATTTTCAGGCTTATAGGCCAGTGCTATTCCATTCTCACTGGAAAAGTACAGGAACTTTAGGGAAACCAAGAGGTCACTGAATGCCCCACATATCCTTTTATACTGATGGGAAGTGGATCATAGAAGCATATTGTCTTATTTTGAAAGCAAGATGATAAAAAAATTGAAAAACTGATTTTTTGAGAACTTGTTTTGAGGACAGTCGACTGATGCTCTAGCATTTATGATGGAATAAGGCTTTTTTTTCTAGCACATTAAAGTTATACGTAGGCTTTGACCTTCAGGTGTTAATTTGATGAAATAGGAAACCTACAAAGCAATATTCTATTCAATACAGTGTCAACTCCATACGTTGGTGTTACGGGCACATGGAGTGAGAGTAATAATGAAATTAGTTTAGCTCTCCTGAAGAGCCGTCCACCCAGGACTAATTCCTTCATGATCCTTTTCCAGGCCTCCTGACAAATAAGACCAAGCCAGTTGCCTCAGTGAGCGGTCAGCCATCCGGCTGCTGCATCACCCCCACGGGGTACCGGGCACAGCGTGGGGGAGCAAACGTAGCACAGCCGCTCAATCTTAGCCAGGTGAGCATTAAGGGCCTCTTCTCCAGGCTGTCTCCTGGAGAATCCCAGGTCTCGCCAGACTGTGTCCCCTTTGGCCTGCATTGTCCTTTGCCATGTCTGCCTATGTCATATCTCTGCTCTCCAGCCGTGCGATCAGCCTTGTACCCCAGGTTCCCCTGCTTGCCCCAGAGGAGTAATGTTTGAGAGCGTGGAGAGCCTGGCGCGTCCAGGCCAGTGCCTGGTTCTGTGTTGTCCGAGGCTTTGCTGCTTCTAGGTCCCGTGCCAAGATCTTTTCCTTCTCCTTCTAGCTCAGAGTTAACTTCATCTCCACATGGGTCCAAGGAAAAAGGGATCCAATTCTGTGGCCGTCCAAGCAGCTGCCCTCTGTGCTGCTTGTTGCTGGATGCTAAAACGGTGCTTCCCTCTTCTGTCTAACCCTCTGGGTGGCAAGAAATGATGGCTTCATTGTTGGAGCAGACTCTCTTCCTTGGCTGATATTTGGGGTGGGGGGGGAGAGGTCAAGGGGAGATTCATGACATCTCCAGGAAACCAGGAAGTAGCACAGGAGGGTATGACCAGGCAGTGTGTGTCAGGGAAGAGAGGAGGCGCTGGAGGAGTTTAAGATGAAAACCGGGCAAGAGGAAAGTTTAGGAAAGAAGACCCGGCCAGGAAAAGCTAGCCAATGGGCGCTCAGGTGGAATTCATCAGTCTGTGCAGGATGGCGGACGAGTGGGCAGTGAGCAGAATAAGGGGAGGGGAAGTGGTAATTGTCAGATCTGGAGGAGGACTGTTTGCTGTGAGAGAGAGAGAAGAACTTGCCTTCAGCCAAGAGGGCTGGATGGCTCGGTAACCAGAGAGGCTTTGCCGGCTCTCCCAGGAGCCTGTGCTGCTGCCGCCTTCATGTCCTGAGCCACAGTGACCGCATGATCCCTCATTGCCCTTCTTCCTCCTTCCAGAACCAGCAGTCATCGGCTCCATCCCTGCAAGAGAGAAGCAGTAACCCTGCCCCCCGACGGCAGCAAGCGCTTGTGGCCCCGCTCTCCCAGGCCCCCTACACCTTTCAGCATGGCAGTCCGCTGCACTCCACGGGCCACCCGCACCTGCCGCCCCAGCCTCACCTCTACACGTATGCTGCACCCAGCTCTGCAGCTGCCCTGGGCTCCACCAGCTCCATTGCACATCTCTTCTCCCCCCAGGGATCCTCGAGGCACACTGCAGCCTATACCACCCATCCTAGCACCCTGGTCCACCAGGTCCCCGTCAGTGTTGGGCCGAGCCTTCTCGCCTCGGCCAGTGTGGCTCCTGCCCAGTACCAGCAACAGTTTGCCACCCAGTCTTACATTGGGTCCTCTCGAGGCTCAACAATTTATACTGGATACCCACTCAGTCCTACGAAGATCAGCCAGTATTCTTACTTGTAGTCAGTGGGCATGGGGACAGGGGCATGGTTATCATCTGTTCCTGATGTAGCGGTCTTGGAGGTGGGGGATATCAAGCCCTTCCCTTAACCTCGCTTTAAAGCCCCCTGCTAGCCCTGTCCAGGGAGCCAGCCAAAGCAGAAGGAAGGTTGTTGGGTTTTTTCCCCTGGGCATCTGTCTCTGTGTTGATGGCGTTGTCTCCCAAAGGCTGTGCTATTTTTTAAAAAAATTCTTTGTTTTCTGACAGTGTTTCTGCTGATTGAAGAGTTCAGCTCTCCACCTTCTGCATAGGGGGCCAACCCCTTCTGTTACCAAGGGAGAGGGACCATTTGAAGGTTGTCCTCTGGAGAATATTTTAACTCTGACGTACATGCTTTATCGAAATGCTTTTAAAGACAGGTCCCTCTTTATTTAATACCATATTGTTGTAACTGCTGATCAGAGGAAGATGCTGATGTAAGGAGACTAAACTTTGATCACAAGTGAGAAAAGAGGAAACTCTCATTTTAAATTTGTTTTGAACAAAGGCTTGTCTGCCTTGTAGGTTTTAGCAGCAGCTTGCACGTTACTTGTATGTTTGTATCAGGCATTTTCCCCCAAAATAGAGTACACATTTTAGCTTTATGGACATTTTTAAACTCTTGATGTTTTAGTTTTGTCTTGGTGACTTGGATTGTCCTCACTAGGCAGTGGCTGTTTCTGCAGCATTTGTTCCATATCACTTAGTGTTGCTCTTGGGGTTCTCTGAGTTACTCCTGTGCTTGATGGAAAGCCACGTGATCAGGCAGCTCACCATTGGCTGGTAACCAAGTGTGGGGAAAAGCCACACCCATCGTGAAAGGTTCCATGTATTTTTAAATTATTTTTTAAAAGTCTGTGATTCAGCTTAACTTTTATCATTGCAAAAGCCATTAAATTAAGGTGATTATTATTATTATTATTATTATTATTGTTATTGTTGTTGTTGTTGTTGTTGTTGTTAATGTTACTGTCTTTGCTGTTGTGTGGTTTTACCCTTCCTGTCTGAATTCTCTCCAAGATCTAATTGTATTATGTGATACTGGCGGAGGTGGGCCTGGCCTCGCAGACTGTAAGGGAGGGGGAGCAGCGCTTAAGGGGTTTGTTTGAAATTATCATTTGACACCGGTTCTCTCCCAGGACAGAATTTCTTTACTAAGAAGCACAGGGCTTTTTTTTCCCCACTCTATTTTTTCCCCCTAACCTTGCCTTTTATTTTATGTGATTTGCTTGAAGAGGAAGTTAAAGGACATGTTGTGGATAGCTTTTTATATTTCAGAAAGAGTAGCTTCCTTGGTATGTCAGCAGCAAATGGAATGCTCTCTCATTAAGACTTATACAATAAGTGCATGTTGGAATTGTGGAAAGAAAAAAAAAAGAAAAAAAAACAGATTTTAAAAGTTTATTACTGAATTTAAAAATATTTTAGAAGTTTTGTAATGGTGGTGTTTTAATATTTTGCATAATTAAATATGTACATATCGATTAGAAAAACTATAACACAATTTTCCTGCTAACCCCAAATGTTCTTTGTAATCAAAATGTGTAGTGACTACACTTGAACTCTGTACTTGGTGTGTGTGTCTGACCCTCCAGTGTTCCCCAGGGATGGAATTGATGTCTTCATTGTATTTAAACCAAAATGAACTGATCTGTGTCAGAATGTCTGTGAACAAGTTGCAGTTTTAGAGCACATCACCGTAGCACTGAGTGAGAGAGCAGTGGGGGGAGGCACCCGCAAGGAGCGGAGACCTTTGGATTGTTTTGCACAGGTGTGTGTGGTGAGGAGCTGTTTGGTGTGTGTCTCTTCCTTCCCTCCCTCCCTCCCACCCCCGCCCCTTTTATTGTAGTGCCTTATATGATAATGTAGTGTTTCAGCCCCGTGGACCCTTCACAGTCCACTGAGCTTTATCTGAGCAGGATCCGTAGCTAGCGTGTTGTGGAAATGCATTGTTCTCAGTTTCCCTGTCAGCATTAAAAAAGAATTAAAAGCAACTCCGCTTGATTTTGAGCCTCAGCTAATTTCCTTAGAAACATTGCTTTTCATGTGGCTCTCATGCTGTGCATTTGCTGCCTTGCTCCTGTGAGAGAATTCAGGAAGCAGGTGATTAAGAACCAAGCAATATTAGAAATGTAAAAAAAGTTTTTTCTAAAAGCACGTGCAATCACTTTTAGGATGATTTTTTTTCCAGTGTGGCACTGACTCTCCTGCTAATAGTTCACATTCCTTGTAAAATATTTGCTTGTTTGGGGGGGGGAACCTTAAAAACTGATGTGTTTATACCAAAGAGCCTGTTGTGTAGCTCACTGTGTCCCCGTTTCATGAGGAGGAGCTTTGTGATACCACTGGTGACAGGGAACTCACAAGAGGTTTCTTAGTAGGAGTAAAAATAGTATTAAGAGGAAACTGAAGCCCTGTGGTGAGGGAATGTGTGATTTCAGTTAACAACCTGTTTTTTGTTGGGGACCTTCGAGCTGTGGGATTGTCCTTGTGTCCTGAGCTCCTCGCCCAGGTGAATCAAGGGTGTTGAGGAGGAATGGTTGGGTCCTCAGAGTATTTGGGGATGGGGGAACTGGTTCTGTGTAGAGATGGTGTCAGGGAGGTGCCAGGTGGAGACAGGAGATTTCCCAGGGCCCCGGGCAGCGAGCGCTGAGCCGGGTTGAATGCTGAGGAGTTGTGGAGGTGTGTGGAGTCTCTTCATTGTGAGAAGTCAGGGATTCTGAGATGGGCCAGGGAGGCACTTGTTGGTGCAGCCTGACAGGAGCCGGAGCCGTTCTGGGTCATGTGTATTTTTTAGTCATTTCATTAAGGTGTCTTTTTGGCACTGAGTGTGTCACAATAGCTAAGCAGTCCCTGGTGTTGAAAAGGGGTTTTGGTTTTTGTTTTTTTGGTCAGCATGTGTGAACTTCATGTCTATTTATTGCCAAGCACATGCTGATTTTCTTACCCAATATACAAGTTGTTTTCAATGAAATTCCTGTTCTTGTAACCTTGTTCTCCAGGGAACAGGATTCGTGTGTGTGTGTGTGTGTGTGTGTGTGTGTGTGTGTGTGTGTGTGTTTCCATAAAAACGAGATGCAGAAAAATCTACCCTCTCAAAGCCAACAAGTGGATCTCATTTAAAATATAAGCCTGACTCCACTGAGAAAGAAATGACCAAGATTGTGTGCAGTTATATTAATTACGTTTTTCTAGAGTTGTGGCTTTAAGCATTTTAGCAATTCTCAGTCTGAGGCTGCAAATTGACATTTTAGATTGACCAAGACTATGTTGCATGTGCTTGCTGAGTAGGGTGTTACCTTGAGAAATGGCGTTAGACTGTCCTTGTAGCTTTGACCAGATGAGGGAAACCTACTGAGCTTAGTGAGGAGTTGGGCTGGGTCAGAATGACCTGAAATCCCATCAGCTTAAAGAAATCTTACCAAGCCTCAGGCCCTCCCTCAGAAGGTGCATTTCTCCCATCTCTTACTACAAGGCAAGAGGAAGCAGGGAGTCCTGTTGAAACTGCCTTCCTCTGTCTGTGGTGTTATGTGGAGGCAGAGGCTACTGCAGGCTCTTCAGGAACACTCATGGGGTAACAGAGTGACCATCAGTTCTGGGCTGGGAATCCCGGACAGAGAACTGCATCTTGGGCCAGTCCTGCCAGTTCTGAAGTGGCATCTGTCTGTCTGCTCATCTCTAGTCAGAGAAGTCAGGGCTGTCTTCAGGCGGCTGCTCAGAGTGATTAATTTACACCTCTCATTTCATCACTGTTATGCAGAATCCATTGGTTAGGATGGTTTGTTTGGGGACAAGGCATGAAATGAAATTGCCTCTCAGTGACAGGAATGGCCTGAGCCTGCTTCCTTTTAGATTTTTTTTTTTAACTGATGGATGGTGCAGCATGTCTACATGGTTGTTTGTTGCTAAACTTTATATAATGTGTGATTTCAGATTCAGCTTGAAAAATAATCTCACTACATGTAGCAGTACATTATATGTACATTATATGTAATGTTAGTATTTCTGCTTTGAATCCTTGATATTGCAATGAAATTCCTACTTTATTAAATGTATTTGATATGCTAGTTATTGTGTGCGATTTAAACTTGCTTTCCCCCCTTTTCTGGTTGTGCTCTTCCTTTTACAAACCTCTAGAAACAGGTAGTTTCTGAGAATTACTGATCTATGTTTGTATTGCAGATGTACTTAGGGGATATGTAAAATAATCATTTTAACAAAAGAAATATAGATATTTAAAATTTAATACTAACTATGGGAAAAGGGTCCATTGTGTAAAACATAGTTTATCTTTGGATTCAATGTTTGTCTTTGGTTTTACAAAGTAGCTTGTATTTTCAGTATTTTCTACATAATATGGTAAAATGTAGAGCAATTACAATGCATCAAATAAAATGGGTTAATTTTCTGATCCATATGGCTGTTTGTGACTCATCTTGGGGAGAGGGTGAGTGGGGCGGGGTATCAAGGAATGATTGATTTCGGGATGGCAGCACCTGAAGAAGAGCACTACTGATGAGCTCTAGACATGCATCTCTGTGAGGAGCGCTTGCAACCAATGGGGTTCCCAAAGCCCTCTTGGGCCTATCTGGCCTAGGACCTAGAAGCAGGCGGGGCAGCAGCAGGCTAATTAAGCTTTGTTTTCCCAGTGTTGTCATCAAACATCCACTGCAGCAGAAGGAAGAGGAATTACCCTAGGAAGATGCTTCCTCCCCTCCCCCAAACTTGTTGCTGCATCCTGGAGGCTTCGGCCTTGCTTGGGAGAAGTGGCACCTCCACTGGCGGTCTCTAGTCTCCAAGCTGAACCCCATTTCTCCAGTGAAGTGCACGGGTGTCAGAGCCATGCTGAATTTGCCAAGGAGATACAGTTTCCAGAGCTCCTAAACATAAGCTCCATCTGTCTGACCTTTTCAGATGAATGTGTCTTGGGCACAAGTGTACACTGGAATTTTTATACTCTAGGGCTTCTAGAGTTTGGCTGTAGAAACAGTGAGCGTTTATTAGGCACCTACTATATTTTAGGCACTGCTTAAGTGCTGAGGATAGAAAGACAAAAGACATTCTTTCAAGGAGCTCATGGTGTAATGGATGAGGCAACACAAAGCAACAATATACAAATACAGGATGAACTGGAGACTAGGATGGGAGAGCACTAGAACTCGGGGGGATTAGGAAAGGCATCTTGAGTGCAGGGAGAGAGCTAACCAGAAACCCACTGCAACAGTCATGGTGATGATGATGTCGGAAGAAAAAGGAGAGAAGCTACGAAGGTTGAAATAAACAGGCCTTGGCAACCCCTGGGTATGGGCCATGAGAAAGACTGAGGGAGTTGAAGATGACACCTAGGTCGTGAGTCTGGGTGACTGAGAGGATGGTGTTGCCCTTGACAATAATGGGGAAGTTTGGAAGCGGGGGGGGCTTGGGAGGAAAAGACATTGAATTCAGTCTTGAACGTGTTGAGTTCAGGACAGTTTGAGACATCTAATAGGCAGTTGGAGGTTCGAGATTAGGGCTGGGTAACTAGATCTGAGAATCATCAGCATAGAGATCATAATTGAAACCATGGGAACTGATGAGATCTCCAAGCAAAATATTTTAGAGGGAGAAGAAAAGGAGGCCTTAGGGTGGAGCCCTGTGTGTCTCGTGGCAGGCAAGATGTAGATGGGAGATCTAACAAAGGAAACTGAGAGGTCAGATGGGTAGGAGAACCAGGATAGAAGAGTGTTATAGAAACCTAGAGAGAAGAGGGTATCAAGGAGAAGAGGCAGAAGCCACAGAGAGATCCAAAAGGGTGACAATTGGAAAGAGGCTGTTAGATTTAGTGATCATTGGTACCTTTGAGAGAGCTGTTTTAGGCAAATAATGACGTTGGAAACCAGGCAGCACGAGGCAGTGCAGTGATGTGGAAGAAAAACATTCTATTTGGAGTCAGGACCTAGGTTCAAATCTCAGCTCTCCTTATGGGACTTTGGACAGGTCACATTTTTTTTTCTAGTCTATAAAATGAATGAATAGAACTTGATGATTTAAGGTCCCTTTCAGCTTTAAATTCTATGATTCTAACATCTAAATTGATTGATTGAATCTATTCCTCTGGACCTGAAAGTACCCAATGTAGATTATAACTATGTTAAATCCTTGATTATCTGATTATCTCAGGCAAGTAATTAGGTAATCCTGGGCAAATCCAAAAATAACTAACTCCCATTTGGGGTGCCTGTGTATGCAAAGGGGTGGGTGGGGTGAGGACAGAGAGATTTGGGTACAAGATGTGAAATAAAACACCTACAGACAGAAGGTGGGCAAGTTATGAACAAAGGATGGTAACAGATGGACAACCTGAGTGCTACACTGATGCCCACCTGTAATTTTTAAATAATTTTTTTTAAAAAGCTTTAAGTCTCCCATCACTTTGGGTAGAACATCTTTGGAAGGTTTATTGAAAGCATGAGGCACAAAGGATGAAGATCCTATGACCTTAACTTAAGGAAGGAACCATACAGATAATCTAGTCCCAATTTCCTGATTTTACGGTTTGGGAATTTGTGAGAATACTGAGAAGTACCACGTGTCAGAGCCAAGAGTTTGTAAGATGGTTTGTGATCTGACCCATCAGTGGCAGTACTTGCAACCAATGAGATCATGAATCTACTGTTTGTTCATCTACTGTGTTTGCACTTATATCTACATATACGTCGACATATCAAATACATGTGATTTTGTTAGTGTGGGAACTTGGCCCACACAGGTACAAATATGAACTTCGAGTCTTAGGCAGTTTCCTGAGGCTAAGTGATTAAGTGACAACTTGACTAGGTCCACATAGCCATTGGAGAGTCAGAGTGGGATGTGATGCCAGGCCTTTCTGATTTCAAGTTAATCAGTTAATCAATACACATTTGTTAATCACCTACCATGTGTCAGGAACTGTGCTAAGCACTGGGGATATAAAGAAAGGCAACAGACAGTCCCTGCCCTCAAGAAGCTTACAGTCTAATGGGAGATACAATGAAGTCCAGCATTCAGTCCACTATGTCATGGCACCTCTTACCTATGTACCTGTTATTTTGGTGCAGTACCTGTGATTTCATTGATGTAGAGAACTCCCAGGGAGAAACTGTATCAAAGCAGATCCACAGTTTTTCTGTAACTTAAAGCCTTAGATTTTCCTATGGCCATAAGAGACTTGTTTCAGCAAAGAGAAGCTGGTGTGGTGTCCAAGGGAACACATACTGACGCGAGGTGGTCCTGCCTCAGAGGCCAGCCCCTTTTTTCAAGCTCCTCTATCCCTATGAATATGTACCTCCCCCTTTTTCCTTTCTAATTATGCTTTGCTTAGATAAATATTAAAATTGATTTGAATTCCTTGAAGACATATCCTGGTGAAAGGGAAAAATGGTATTTTTAAAACCCTTAGGGAAAGGGTACAGGGAGTCAAGAGAGAGAAGAATCATACTTTGTGAATCAGAAGAGTACTATAGCCTGGTAATGAGGAAAGCCCTTTTTAGGGCTGCCTTTCTCTCTCATGTGGAATTGTGCTAACTTTCTAGTGACTTGGTTTCACCTCTAGGTATTTATGGGGTTCCTCCTTGGGCCTCCCAAGTAATCCTCCTATCAAACAGCTTTTCAGATACTTGAAAACAGCCAGTTATATCCCCCCACGCTTTGCCCAGATGAAAGGGGAAGGGACCAAGCATTTATTAAGTGCCTACTGTGTGTGAATCAGGGGAAGCAGGTTGTTAAGATCCCAGAAAACAGCAGGGTGGTGCTATAGTGCACGGAGTGCTGGGTAGAGGGAGGGTGGGTGCCTTGGAATCAGGAAGAACTGAGTTCAAATCCCATCTGAGACACTTACTAGCTGTGTGACTGGGCAAGTCACTTAACCTCTGTCTGCCTCAGTGTCTTCACCTGTAAAATGGGGATAATAGCCCCTATTTCCCAGGGTGGTTGTGAGGATCAAATGAGATAATAATTGTAAAGTACTTAGCACATAGTAAGCACTTAATAAGTAAATGTCTGGTTCCTTTCCCTTTCACCTGGGCAAGGGATGGCATATATGATAATTGTCTGCAAGTATGTAAGGGATTGTTAGGTAGAAAGGGAAATTAGGCTATTCTTCTTGGTCCCCAAGGACAGGACCAGGATTGTGAACTAGGGTCACAGTGGTTGGACATGTTTTCCTGCTTCTGGGTCCAGCACTCTGTCCACTGTACCAGCCAGCTGCCTAAAATGTCTGTATCTATATAGAAGTATGCAATATCCATTTATAGATACAATGTGTGTGTATATATATATACATATATATATATAATGTATATATATATACACACACACACATATATATATATTTACAATATATCTATATCCATATCCATATCCATATCCATCTAGGTATAGCTTTGAAAGTTACATTGGAACTAGTGTAGATGAGGGAACCATCTTTCTGGTTATAGAAGGGTATTCTCTTCAGCCACAGGCATGGTATTGTGGAAATAACAACAGCCTTGAAGTTATAGGACCAGGATTCAAATCCTTCTTCTGACACTTGGACAAGTTCAACAATTTAATAAAGCCTACAACGTGCCAGGCACTATGTTAAGTGCTGGGGATACAAAAAAGAGGGCAGTCTCTGCCCTCAAGGAGCTCACCATACCTTACTTTACCTCTCAGGGACTCAGTTTCCGTATCTGTAAAATGAGGGAACTAGATAGCCTCTGTATTCCTTTCTAGTTCCATGGTTCTGTGATTGTATGCTCTTTGGGGTCCCCTCTATGATTCTATTTCCCAATCAGCCAAATGTGGGAGCAAGACTAGAATTTGGCACAAGGTGGCGCCAATGAGCTGCAGAAGACAAGTCTGGAACGAACCTGTCTATCACCCTCCCCCCATCTTCCTCCCCATCAACCAACCAGTTTTGTCCCTTCTCCTCCCCCACCCAGAGCTCCGCCAGCCTGCTCTTTTGAGCTGGGCCAAGAAACCCTCCCTCCTATTGTGGGGAGAAGGAGCGGGATTGAAGGGGAGTCAGAATTTCTTAAAGGAATCAGTTTTCAAACCACAAGTTCAAACCACAGGGATGGGGCTTTGCAGGGTTTTCTCAGGGACCTAAACATACCTCCAGCCTGCCTTTCCCATCTTACTCCCCCTGGCCACTGCTGGACATAGGGGCTAGCTTGCCCTTTACCCTCCTCATTCTTGGGGAGCCTTCAGCCTAGGAGGGAGGTAGTTCAGGCCTCTGGCCACCCTGTAACGGGACCATCTGTATTTGATCAGCTTGAGAAGGAGGTGGGGGATTAGGGGGGAGGAAGGCAGTGAAAGCATTCCAGAGTGGTGAGAGAGACCCAGAGACCCAGAAAAGACACAGCACCGCCTCCCGGCTCTACACTCCCCCCGCCTCCCAGGCTAACCCAGGGGTTGA